ATTATAGTTTTACTGATAGTTTAAAATCAATAAATATTTGTATCTTTTTATCATTAGTACCAAGAATGGAAAATTAAGTTTTTAAAAAAAAAAAAATCCAAAGAATCATTTTTGGAATTGGAAATTAGGTTAAATCTAACCTTTTGTTCAAAGTAGTGCGGAATGTCAAAGTCTTGATAATGCCATTTTCTCTTTTAGTTACATGCATTATCTATTTTAGTTGTTAGTAGTCCTTAAGTGATATGGTTTGTTATTTGGTAGTTCTTTGTTTGTGATTCTGTAGTGCCAATCCCCAATGTTCAAAGAAGGACAGTCATTGTCAAGAGCCACAGGCTTCACTATCTTAAAGCCATTTTTAACCATTGATTTGAGTAAACAGTTGTATACAGCTGACAGTTTAGTTATTTTTGACTGGGTTTAGTGGCATGCATGATATCCATGTGGAAATCTAACGTGTTGTTGAATTCATTTTTAATATTAACAAATAACTTCTGTTCCGATTTTCTTTTCCATCTATAGGACGGATATTTGACTCCATGATAATTTGTCATCTAAAAAACATTAAAGGATTTGATATTCCTCTTCAAATGTACTTTTGTTTTTCTTTTCTTTTTCAGGTGTCAAGATATTTATGGACACCAAAGCCCAGTTGACATTATTGGGCACTGAAATGGACTATGTAGAAACAAAGCTCTCTTCGGAATTTATATTTAACAACCCTAATGTCAAGGGTACATGTGGTTGTGGAGAGAGCTTCAGTGTATAACCCTAACTCCCTGGCTAGTTGTGGACCATTTTACATACATATATATATATATATATATATATATATATATATATTTATGTATATAAATTTATATTGTGTTCTTATAGTTGCTTCCTTTTGACATGCATGGACCATCTGGAGAAAGGTTGGTTGGGTGTTCTGGGGAGAACAAAACCGATAACACAATGTGGGAAAGATGAATACCTCACTTTAGCCTGTCTCTCTCTCTCTGTGTCGGTTTGTATATGTAAAGAATGCATTGTAATTTGAATAACCAGACATGGCTTGTCTGTGATTTTCTGTTCACTTTTCTCTCTCTTGTTTTCTTTCTTTTTCTCTCTCTCTCTCTCATAAGAGCCAAACCAGTTCAAGGTACAACATTGATTTAAGAAAACAAAAATAGATGTGCTTCATGAACACCATCATTGCACCCAACACCAGAGAGACCATACTATACTTTCCTATAGTAACAGAACTTTTTTTCTTATTTGATGTACAATGGGAAGCTCTTTTATAAAGGGATAAAAAAAAGATTCTGGCCATCTTATTGCACATAAATGTCACCCCGGGTTTTTTTGTTTTTTTTTTTAAATGCCTTGTCCCTTCAGGGCATAAGCAACCATTTCTCTTTCTGCAGATTACTTTTTCTTTATCTGTGGAATGCCAGGAATTCTTGGGCAAAAATAGTGGAGTGCTTTCCCATTGCCCTCTTCATGATTTCCAATTCATGGTCCTTCTCCTAGACTGTCCTCCACAAAAATTTAGAGAGCTCAGTCTACCCTGTTACTGCTTTTGGGGTGAGGTGGGGGGGTCTATAGAAATGGATTGATGTCTTCTGAGAGCATTAGTGCAAAAGTGAGCACTGTAGATTTAGCTGGAATTTGAACTTGGCACACCAATTCTACTTTCCACACTGATACCAGGGAGAGAATTTTGGATTTTGTTTGCTCTGCTTTCAAGAAAATGTTATCTGGACTCCGCTCCCACCTAAAACTTTTTTGTGTTTGCTGCTGCTGATGATGATTATGTTTAGAAAGCAGTCGTGATGATAATTGCTAAGGCTCCAGTGCCACAATCAGTTGCAAATGACTGTGATAAAATGTTCTATGTAAAATTCTGACATGCCTGATTGTCAGCATTCTGTAAGCAATATCATTTTTGTTTTTATCTCAAATGTTTCAGCTGAAAAAATTCTTTGAGTCATTCATTGTCTCTCTCACTGTGTGTGTGTATATGTTTCCCCCTAGTGTAGGATCGTTAATTAATCTGAAACTTTTAAAACCATTTATTTTATTTTCAACATCATCACTTGATACGACACAGAGTGTGTTGAAACAAAATGGCTATTTTTGTAGTGATTTTATAACATACTTATGTTATAATTTTTTTTATAAAAGTAATTATATATTATATAAGAGAGTACTCTTATATACATAAGGAATATGCAAATCTCTCTCACACACACACACATTTAAAGTAATAATGCACATGTGTTTTATTGCTTTAAATGTTATATTTAGTGGCTATGTGTGTCAGAGAGGACATGCCTTTTTTTTAAACAGTGCAAATCAATGTCTACTGACCTGTGCATTTGAGAGTCTTAATAAGGAACATGTGCCCTCCAAAAAGGTTTGAAGCTGCATCACCCACATAGAGGGAGGCTACCATTAAGCCTGGCAAGCTTTTCAACCAATCAGCCTCAGACGACTTTCATATTCAAGCAAAGTTCAATTACCCTATTCAAGAAGTGCCCATTTCCTGTTCATATCTCTCGAAACCCAGATCTGCTAACTCTTATTTTTGTATCTGAAATGTAAACAAAGTAATTCCCAAGAAATGAATGAATTTTATTTATAATCTAACATTTCTTATTACTTTAATACATGTGTGTGTGTGTATATATATATATATATATATATACACACACACACACACACAAGGTCAGTCTGATAAGTAACAGGACTGGGTGTGCTGTGTAAGCTATGAACATCATCCACAGTTTCTTACCAGATGGTCAGATGATCAATCAGCAAGACTACAAAGAAATCCTCTGGTGTTTCCTTTGCTCAGTGCCCCAGGAGAGATGAGTGTTGTGGCAGGGCAGATCATGGCTGCTTTACCACAACAATGTACCTGCTCACAATGGCCTGAGCATTCGGCAGTTCCTGGCCAAGAAAAAAACTGTACTGGAACAACCTCCCTATTTACCTGATCTTGTTCTGTGTGACTTTTTTTCTTTACCCCAAGCTTATGGGGAACATCAAGGGAACCTGTTTTGAAGGCGTGGATGCCATCAAGAAGGCTGTAATGATGGAGTTGAGGGTTATCCAAGAAGGATCCTTCCAGCAGTCCATAGAAGCATGGCATTACACTCAAGGGGATTACTGTGTGTATGTATATATATATATATATATATATATATATATATATATATATATATATATATATATGGCTGTAACTCAATTTTAAGCAACATCATTGCTTTATCCACCCTCAAATTTAGGCAGTGCAAACATTTTTTTAGTCCTGCTAGGGTATTACATTCTATTGCACAGATTTTGCAGTAGTTGTTACATAAATGCCACATAATGTGTAATAAAGAACTTCTCTCTGTGCATGGTATCTTTGATTTTAAAGTCTGCCGTGTTTAAACAGATGCAACTACATTCATTTCATTTTAGAATTTTATATATATATATATATATATATATATATATATATATATATATATAATTAATTATTTTTAAAATATTTAAAAAATTACTATGTTTCAAAACTGGTCCCCAAGTGCTAAAGTTTAATTTCAATATTAAACCTTAACTTTGGATGACCGTTTCATTCTCAAGTGATGTTTGGAATAATTTTAAGCTCTACTTCTGTATTGAACATTTTTAAAAAAAAAAAAAATAAAAACAAAAATACAAAAATACTAAAGAACTTTGTATCATCAATCTGTTTTTTCCTATTACATCAATACACACACACACATATATATATATATGAAAATTTCTCCGATTTAATCGGTAGAAGACAATATTTATGAATAAAAATGACAATAGGAAAACTGGTAATTGCTTTGGGCGCGTAGGCAATTACCAGTTTTCCTATTGTCATTTTTATTCATAAATATATATATATATAATAGTTATTATTATAAAGAAGTTAATGGTCAGAGTTAAATTAGATCAGGAAACAGTAGTATCAAAAATTTAACATGTAGAGCTTTTAAGGTATAAGTGACAAGGTCAATATACTGTAAGCAAGCATTTCTAACTATAAAGGAGTATAAGGGTGAATTCACTAATAATCCTTCTTTTAGACAAATAAACCCAACCAAAACTGAATTGGGTAAAAAAAAAAAAAAATAAAGTGCAGCGCATTAAGGATCATTACTCAAGCCAATCAATGGAAGGATACAGGTGAGTGCCTTTTTTTGGTTTTGGTTCCCAGATTCTTTCTCTTTATTATCTGTAAATAGTTCACTCTCCTACCACCACTGTTGCCTTCTTCATAGTGTTGAATTCAGAGTCGTCCTTCTACGAGACTGGCTGCCACCCAAGGCCTCCTCTGCTATTTTATATATAGCTGAGTGATAAGTAATGGCATTTGTGTGAAAGTGAATGCAACTGACTTGGGGAGGAGAGACCTGAAGAGGGGGTACAGTCTAAGGCTGCAAAAAAAAAAAAAAAAAAAAGTACTTGACTGCTAATGTATGTTCCATTTGAGTTTGTTACAGTCACTTACGTGCTAAAGCGGAACAGAGTAGCCTTGAGTAGCAACAGGTCTAGAAAAAGGCCAACTATGAATACAAAACCTGAGTGGTCAGCGAAGAGTATTAATTGACAGGAAATATCTTTACAGTATAGAAAAAAAAAAAAAAAGTGAATCCGACTGGATAAAGTGGTTTAAGCTGAAATTAGAAGGTTACCAAGTATGAACACAGAGACCTGAAGAAGGCTGGCAGGTGCAATGGTCGAAACATGAGTATAATGATCAAGAATAGCAAAGCATGATAATGATGATTCCTCACCCCTAAAAATTCCAACAAAAATTAGATTAGGCCATTTATAAAGGGAGTTATCATTTTAAAAAAAAGCACTCCCCCATTTTACTACCATTCTTTCAACAAAAGGCCAAAATTTAAATTCCTTTTGAGAAATGATCAGAATAAAAAGATAAATTAAAATATTCCACTTTTTTTTAATTACACACAATAAAAAAAATTAAATTAAAATTATGTTATGTTTTCAACCTCCTCTGGTTCAAGATCCTCCTTTGGCACAGTCGAAAGAACATGGGACAGTCTTTGGCACATCACTTTGATTTGGTTATTTGTCATATGTTCTGCAGACATAATGGCATTAGCCACAGCAATAGTATCAACAGACGACCGGCCCTTCACCCACACACGTCCGTTCATGCCAATAGCCACTTCAAACTTCAGGGTTTTACCTAGTGTCTTTAGCAATACACATTCTGGATTCAGAAGTCTGCAATTAGAGAAGAAAACATTTACATCAATGCAAGAAACTGACATTTATTGGATTAGTTGGCTCAAATACAGATCAATGAATTAATACCTGAAAGGTTTGGGATTTTATCATTTGGAAAAAGGAAAATATGTTCAAAGTAGAAAAGTTCTAAGTTTTCATCATTCTTAAATACATTGCAACAGAGCAGATCATCTTTTTTCTTTTTGGCATAAAAAAAACATTTAGGTAACTTGATATCACAGGTAGGATTTATTAAATGAATGCATCAAAACAATCCTTCACCATTATAATTGTATAACTGCAACTGTACAAGTGGTTTTACAATACAAAGGCACAGGAAATTATTTTTCTAAAAATAAAAATGTATTGCAGATTGTTTTAATGCTAGGTGTTTACATACCTGTGATATCACAAATAGGAACTTTAAAAAAAAAAAAAAAAAAAAAGAAGTTAAATTCATTATTTATGGGCATTATTTAATTATTTACAATATTCAGACTTACCCTTATCTTCATTGCCATATTCACAATATTTCAACCATTGTACACTCCAGCCTTCTTCAGGTGATTGGAATTTCTGAAGGAGGCCAGAGCGTGTAACAGACAAAACATATGGCAATGAAGATGAGGATAACAGTCCAAATAAGGTAAACAATCATAATACCTCATCTCAGAGATATAGACGGGTTATTTAATGTTGAATAAAGTATTATAGGACAAAAATTGTTTGAGTCAAAAAAAAAAAAAAAGAAAGGTAGAGATTGGTCCCGTTTAAGCTAGGCCCCCCAAAACAGTTAACATAGGTACCATTTATGCTATCCCCATCCAAAAAAAAAAAAAAAAAATGAAGACATAATTCCCATTTACACCAGGGTCAACCAATATCCACCCAGAAGTTCACCCGTCTAGTGTTGGGATACAGTCAGTGTATTGTGAGCCCCAGCAACAAGTCAACTTTCATTTTAATCATTCCATGTATAAAATAAAATGACAAATCTTGGCAGAAACTTAAAAACAAATAAAATTACAAATGACAGACAAAGCTTTAGACTTTTTCACTGCTCAGCTAAGTTCGTCACTACCCAAGACCCAGATTTACTTTGGTCAATTTTGGCACTGAATATTTCTGACAGTAGAAAAAATAAAAGGTTAATTAATTAAACATTGGTTTGAATCCTCTCACCCCCCCCCACTTCCCTGTCGAATTTGAATAAATTTATGCACTCAAAATGGCTAGGACCCTACATGCCATTTTCATAGTAGCAAATCACCCCCCCCCCCCCGTATTCTATCAGTGAGAAGTAAGTTCCACTTGAACAGCTTCTTCCCACAAACCACTGCGGAACAAACTCCCAAGATCACTACAATCTTAACCTGTTCAAGTCTAGAATTAAGTGTTATCTTCACCATCTTAACCTTAATGTAACCCTCTAGTGGCCCCCAGGCCTTGTACAGAGTGAACATTACTGGAGGAAAAAAAAAGAAAAGAAAAAAAAGCAAACTTCATTGAAGTAATTCTTATTACCATAATTTCTTGAAAATAATACACACCCCAAAAATGATTAAAAAATTAAGAAATATATTTATCCCTATGTATAATATGCATCAAGAAGTATTGTCTCACGGCAGCCATAATATCTTTCTAATCTTAGAACACGTACGTATTTATTATGATTGAAAAAATATTTTTGTTTAAGCCTATTTATAATACGCACCCCTACTATCTACTTGTAATTTACAGTAAAAAAAAAATGCGTATTATTTTCGAAAAATTACGGTAATTTTCTATTGTGCAGAATTGAATAATCAGAGTTATTCCCCTTTTTACACAGTCACTCCCCTTCCTTCATGCAGCCCCCCCACCCCCTTTTTTTCATTTTCCGAATCCCAAGATCTGAATGTGCAACAACAACAACAACACCGGAAGAGAAATCAGTGAGCCGAGTTCAAATTGTTCATGACGTTCACTTTCGCATAAATACCCTTGGGGAAAGGTATAAATCTATCTCCTCTTCCTCCATCTAAAATTGCAAAACTGAGCTCTCTTGCTTTGAAGTAGTGCAACCAATCTAGAAGGAGGAAAATTGAATTCGAAACCAGACTAAAGACTAAGAGGGTTGAGCTCCATCAGACTATCTTGTCATAGATACACCACTGCTGTTATGGTTGCAGTACATGTGGCGCCCCTATGACCCTCATGGAACTGTGATAAGACTCTATCAAGAACTAAAAAAATCTTTCTTTAATTTAATATGAAAAACGACCAAATAATTATTTATCAGATTATTATCAGAGGTATTATGAATAAATATAGTGAAGAAAACATATCCCACAACAGAAAAGAAAATTACTTACCCAAAAAAAAAAAACAGGCACGTATTCCGCATGACATACTGAAGACGTAATACTTAAATTCAAAAAAAAAAAAAAAACCAAGTCCGTCGCAGGAGTTGCCATAAAAGTATTTTGATATGCAAAAATTTGGCGTCCTCTACCAGTTGTCGACGAATGAAAAAAATGCTCGGCCAATAAAAGCAGTTGGTGTTCTCGAACCGGTAGGAAAAAATTGACGTATTTTGGTTACCGTCTTCGTCGGAGAGCGAGTTATTTTTCTGACTGGTTACGTGCATTGGGATTTGTGAGATAGTACCTGCAAATCGAGTTTCGGCATTTCTTTCTGCCCCTGATATTCGAGTTTGAACTTACAGTGATTTGTTCTCTGCATTGTGGAAATAATCTGTGACAAATATTTCCTTTGCTTTCAGAATGCTTACAATAAAATAATTTAAACAATGTCTGCTTCCTTTCATATTCTGATTTGGACCTTCATGTCCACAATAAAAAAAAAAAAAAAAAGCGTCAAAATGACGTTTTTTTCCATTGACAGTGCAATTATTTTAACCACCTTCATTCATCAGCAATGTTTACTGTTTTAAAAACAATGATTAGAATTGTAATAAAACTTGATGAAAGTGGATTTATACATTTTTTCTTTTGAGAATTTACAACAAAAATATTAAACACTTTATTTATTACATTGTTTACACCATGTTGAAGTCCCCTATATATATATATTTCTATTTTTTTAAACCAGTAATCCCCACATAATATATAGACTGTGCCAGCATTGTGTTAACTAGATATTTTTATTAAAATTTAAATTATGTAATGGTCAGTTTCTACCCAGCACCTGAAGATTGCATTGCGCATGAAACTATGAGTTATGCTACAAGTAAGAATATATAACTATGAACCTCAAAAGCCTGGCAAACCTACCTAGGTTTCACCAGCATACCCTGATGATCTGCGTAGGTTTGTCTGGCTCTTTAGGTTCATAGTTAGATTTGCTCTACTTAGCATATTGAGCACTTTACTTAGTTATTTTTATTTTACTCGTGTTGGAGTTTTTTTCTTTGGACTCTGAGCTTGGATTCTGGACGATTGTTTTCACCTCAATTACCTGTTCTTAGTTCTTTCTTTTTTTTTATTCCTCGGGTATCGGTTTGTTCATTTACAAGCCAATACACCTAAGGTTTTTCCGCACAAGTATACTTACTTATATTTATAAGATTATAATATATATATATATATATATATATATATATATATATACACACACAGATAATATTAGTGGTCAATATATATATTTCCAAGAGGAAAAAATCCAGGTAGAGCTCAATGTACAGTACAGAGCAAGAAAATAATTATGATTCCAATGTAATAAATTATAACCATGAAATATTAGCATTTGACCCTATATATATATATATATATAAATATATAAAGGTGATTTGGAGGAAAAGCTACATTAGAAAGCGAAGTGACTTACTTTCGAACAAGATGCAAAGGAGAGGTGAAAACAAATCCTCCATTCCTAATGACACCCATTCCGGCTGATTTTTCCTGATTGTTTACACACACCAACTCAGTTTCCATATTTTTGTTGGCCGTCTGCACTTTTGCATACAACAGATCACCAACCTGAAGGAAGAAAAAGAAATAAAAACATCAAAATACGTGAATTGGATTTTCTCAATTCATTATCTTCCTCACATATTTAAAGCTGAACCAAAGAAATAAATAAACGACATAAACCTAACACAGTTTCTATGGTTCCCGTGTCAGTCATCACCAAGAAAATCTATATCTATTTAGGTTGGGTCAGAAATAATTTGCTTTTACTTACCAACTGTTTTCTTCAAAAAATAAAGATTATATTTTATTATTTACCATAAAAAGACAATACATAATGAATAAAAAAGAAACCAAAACTAAAAGAATTAAGAAGAAAAATGGCTTACAATAACATCATGTTGAAACTACCGGTTCCCGAACAAACACAAGTACCTAGGTGAGTGACCAGGCGATGTTAGCTTGGACGGGCAGGTGATGCAATGGATAATGGCTTGGAATTGTTAACTGGAGAGCAGAGTTCCAATTCCGTTGGCTTTGTTATATTCATTTACGCATACCCTTGGGAAAGGTATGAATCTCCCTCTTCTCTTCCCAGCTATGGGTTAATTAGTAAAGCTTGTATCACTAAATCAGTATCTCAAAAAAATAAATAAATAAATAAAAATAAATAAAAAAAGTAAAAATAAAAGAAATAAGTTCTTACACTCTAAAAAATATTTTCTGGCTTTAAATAACCTACAAAGGGTTGATAAACCATAGAAAAAAAAAAAATCAATAAATCAGTCAATTAAAAGATCAAAAGATTTTATGATATAAAGATTATTTCTTTTTATTCTTTTTAGAAACTTAGAAATTTTGGTTAAAGATTTTTGTTTTCTTTTTAGCATCAATGCAGAACATTAAATTTTTATTGAAAATTTGAGCTTTTTTTATGTTTAAAAACACATGGACTTGAACATTGTTGCAAAAATCAGATAATTGCCAAATTTTAATGAAACTTTCAGGGCTTATTCAGAAATAAATCAAATTATTTTTAAATGTTTCTTTTTCAGAAAATCTCTCAATATTTTATATCTTTTAACATCCCACCCTGGCCACAGGTCTTTACACTTATTTTTCTTCAGACCCATGGTGTCACTAAAGGAATTTTGCAAAATAACAGCAAAATAGACAGAACACAACAGAGATCCCAATAATATTGGTTCTCTGTAATTTTGATTTTGCAGGTGCGTTGTCATTGTTAATGTTAAGGTTAGCTGTTTTAAATTTTTTTTTAGCAGATAATTTAATTTTCTTGTTCTGGTTGACTGGGGTCTTTATAATGTTTCTAAGAGAAAATTCATCCTGCTTATAGTTAATGTGTATTTGGCTTTTATAGAAAATTTTAAAAGGTATACTTTTTATCTGCATGTTCAATGTTTGTACTGGTTACCTTAGAAAGAAATAGACTAATCTAGTGGTCAATGAGGTAATTCGGAAAACTGTTATTAACTAGTGTTTAGATGATAAATTCTCATGTGCTCCTTTGCGGAAGTTTTTTATAACGTCTATTTTATATCTAAGTGGACATATAAAATTAAGGTGGTAAGAGTAACTTGGCTAACAGATGAGGTTCCGCCGAAGGGCAGAGTCTCGTTTGGGGTGGTTGACTGCCCCTGAACCTGTTTATGCGGGTTCAAAAAGGGAATATTTTGGTCGAGCCTACGGGGCTCAGAGATCCCACATTAAACCCGACCTTGTGCCACATATAACCCTCGTGGGGGGGTAGCTAAATATCACTAGTGTATAATAAAGTAGTGAATGTGTTACTACTAAATTCTATGAGAACATCAAAGAATGGGAGTTTATTTTTTTGACTAAGTTCATAGGTAAAGGAAAGATTTTTTTTCCAGATCTGATTCTGAGATTATCAATTTCTTTTTTTTTTTTTTCAGCTAAAATAAAAATACCTACATAGTGGATTTATATTTTGCATTTAGTAACTTTTAAAATATTTTGGGACATATAATAGAGAAGCATGGACTGTGTGGATTTCCCATAATAACATCATTCGTTTGGTTGTAGATATTGCCATTATGGTTGTAGAAGGGGAATTAGTTGTGCAGGCATGTAATAATTTTTGAGAATATTATGTTTGATGGATGGAGGTGTAATAGAATTATATATATATATATATATATATATATATATATATATATATATATATATATATATATATATATATATACACACACAATTTAATGTTAAAATTGTTTTTTATTATACTTGATTCAATACGTATTCTTTCTCTTTGGACACTTTGGCTTTTTTATTATTTGCCCAGACAAGTTGGGTTGGAGGATTTTATGCCATATCAACACTTGTTAGGTTATTTTTATGTTGAATTTTGTACAGGGTACCCAATGAGGATTGAACTCCCTTCTTTTTTTTATTTATTCTTGTGTCAGTAGGTAAATGTTGCTCATCTCCAAACCAAAGTCCTAAAGTAACAATTCTTAAGGTACAGATGTTGCCTGACACAATTCTGATTTTTTGCTTAAAGTTCATCAGTTGCCCGGAATTAGAAGGGACCCATTCCATTTTCTTTCTCTTTAGGTGCTTGTAAATACCAATGTAGCAACAATTTGTCTCAATCAGTTATACAATGCTAATGGTAACTGTTTTTTTTTTTATGTGAAAACATTCAGCATTTACTCACCGAACAGATAGTCTTACTTTTTGGTTGAAATTTATAAAATCTTTCTATTAAAACAATATTTTATTTTTTTCCAGGAAAATAGGTTACACAAGTCCAATAGCTGTTATGGTTCTTTTCAGTATTGATAGGGGTTTCCCTCCTAACTTTTTGTTTGAAGTCGTGTGGAATGTCAACATCTTATATCCTGATTCTCTTTCGAGTTACATGTGCTTTCCATTTTAATCGTTGCCATCATAGAAACCCTCAAGTGATGGGGTTTCTGTTATTTGGTATAGCCCAACAAATTTTCCTTCTTCCAAATTATTGCTTGTTTAATGGCATATCAGCTCCTGATGGGTAATATTTTTTTTTTCACAAATGTACTGCTGGTAATAATTTTTCCAAAAACGTATTGCTGATATTAAAACCTACTTGTATACTTTCATAATGTTTTGACCCCTTTTGGGGTTTAACTATATACCCATAGCTGGGACCCTGACAGATGCTACCACCCCATTCAGGGTGGACCTGGGAACACCAGCAATTAAGAGGTGTTTCTATGCTCCTCAAAATATCCTAATCAAAGGCCTTGCTGTCAGATGTAGTTTATTGTCTTACCCAGGACATGGATGTAGCTTTTTGTCATACCCAGAACGGATTTAATAAAAATTCTTAAAGTAATAAAAATATGATATATATTATATATTATTCTGCTTTTACAATTGAATACATGGACATGTTTGTGTGGACATAATTACTCCATATGTGTGTTTTATGTTCTAGTTTTGTTGAAGTTATATTTTGGAATACAGTTTCAGTTCTTTAAGAAACTGTAGAATAATATATGGATTAATATCATGAAAGAGTTCTTTCATGTTGGATGTTTGGTTGATTTTGTTTAGCGGCATATCAACACCCCTATGGGTTATTTAATGCCGAAATGTAAATATTTTGAACACAATTTTATGGCTTCATCTACAGATAAAATGTATTGTTGGTTGTTTTACTATAAATATGCAGTATATATTGCTGGTACTTTTACTATAAAAATGTATTTTTATACCTTCTTAGTGTTTTGCTTTTGTTTGGGGGTTCACTATTTGCTCATAGCTGGGGCCCTAACTGGTGCTACCACCCCGGATCAGAGTGGACCTCGGAACAACAACAACTAAGAGATGAGTCAACATTCCTCAAGACTTCCAAACTCCCGATCCAAAACTGTACTGCCAGATGTAATTTATCGTCATACCCTGGACTGTTCTTCCAAATTAATCTTATCTCATTTGGAAAGAAGAAAATTGTATTATGGTCAGAAAGAGAGAGTTAAAAAAGAAGAGAACTTACCCTAACATCTGGTCGATTTCGTTTTGTGGCACCCTCAAAGGCTAAATAAGAAAGACCTGCTGGCTCATTACTACCAATATCCACACGAAACACATCTCCTGCCTTCATGGAACACACTCCAAGGACATGGTCCCCCTGAACAGGAACATACTGGAAAGTCAGAAAGAATCAGTTTTTATTTGTACAAATGATTGATTGTTGATGGATTCATTTTCTACAGTTTATCAACCCTTTACAGGTTATTTAAAGCCAGAAAATATTTTGTATAAATTAGCAGAATACCTGTCTGGCAAACAGACAAAAAAGGTGCAATAGAAGTTCTCTTAACTTTTTTATTAATAATAAAATTAGTTCAACCGTAGACTATATTCATGTAATTAGATAATTTTGTCATGTTTTTATTAAATATACTAACTAATTATGTCGTCCATCAGGATGCCTCCATATGTCATCATAGGGAAATCATGATTTGATTTATTTGTTTAACAGCATATCAACTCCTTATGGGTCATTTAATGTCAGAATATAATTTTCTTGGGAGTTTGAAGTAATAAAAATATGATATATGTCAGGGGTTGTTAACCTATAGCACATATGCTACACATGGCATGACAAGCAGCTGCAAATGACATCACAAAGCTCGAACCAATAACTAGTACAACGCAAAGAAGATATTTAACTGTTTGAATTTTAATATATATATATATTATATATATATATATTACTATATAAAATATATTGTAGAACAGGTATATTGACCGTGACTTATATAAAAATATGTATGCTGTTAGCAAACTAAATGATTTTAAAACCCTATGTCGGCACAGCAAAAGGTTGCCGACCCTTGATACATGTTATTCCGCTTTCACAATTGAATACATGGTAAATGATGCTCAGCTTTTGTGCATATACATGTTTGTGTGCAGATAATTACTGCAGACAGTGATGTAAGTTTTATGTTGTAGTTTTGTTGAAGTTAGATTTTGGAATATATTTTTTAGAACAATTTCTTTAAAATATTGTAGGATATTATTAATAATGTCATGAAAGAGTTCTTTAATGTTGGTTGGTTGATTTTGTTAAGTAGCATACCAACCTCTACAGGATATTTAACGCTGAAATCTAAATATTTTGAACAGCTTCAACTAAATATATTTTAAACGTAATTGCATGCCTTCAACTACAGATAAAATGTATTGCTGGTCATTTTACTATAAATATGTATTGTTGGTAAATTTTTTTAATAAAAATGTATTGCTGGGATTTTTTTACTATAAAAATGTATTTTTATACTTTCATAGTATATTGTTTTTGCTTAGGGGGTTCGCTATTTGCCTATAGCTGGGACCCTAACAGGTGCTACCACACTGGGTCAGGGTGGACCTGGGAACAACAGCTATTAAGAGGTGGTTTCATGCTTCTCAAAACTGCCAATCTCCCAATCAGAGGCCTTGCTGCCGGATGTAGTTTATCATCAGACAAAGGACTACATAGAGACTTTGGTTGCACATATATTAGGAGACACAAGACATTGATGTGTTTCCACAGTTTACATCTGACTCAGAGTAATTACATCTCATCCACTGTCTGAAGTATGAAGGATCTTTTCACATGACATCATTGCAATCCACTGCCACAAATCTAGTCTGATAGATTCTTCCATTGATCACATCCAACTGCTGATGTCTTCTTTGTAACCCTGGTAGGAGTGTCCTTCGGGTGCTATGCCTTGCCAAAGGGCAAGCCATGATTTGGTCCCATATGGATTTCTCCCAGAGAAACCAGTCTGCTGTTATTTAACCAATAAATAAAAATTCCTGTCTTGGGTATGACAATAAACTACATTCACGTCCTAAGTAAAACGATGAACTGCATCCAGCAGCGGAACCTCTAGTGGGGAGGTTTTGAGGATCATGGAACCACCTCTTAGTTGCTGGTGTTCCCAGGTCCGCCCTGACCCGGGGTGGTGGCACCTGTTAGGATTCCAACTATGGGCAAATAGTTGACTCCCAAAGTGGGATCAAAACACTATGAAAGTATAAAAACAGGTTTTAATACCAGCAATAAATCTTTGAAGAAAAGAATATTACCAGAAGTGCATTTTTGAAGAAAAAACAGAGACAACCAGCAATACATTTTTGAAGTAAAGGGATATTGGAAGCAATGCATTTTTAGGGAAAAAGGTGTTAGCAGCGATGCATTTTTGAAGAAAAGAATGCTGGCAGTGATGCATTTTTGAAGAAAAAAAATATATTAGCAGCAATACATTTTCAAAAAATATTACCAACAATAAAAATTTTGTCAGCATTAAATAACCCATCAAGGTGTTGATATGCTATAAACCAAAACAAAGCTAAAAATTAATTCAACAACAGATTAGTCCAATTATATCATTTTCTTCAACATGAAACATTTTTTTTTTGTTTACATCTCTTTCAATTAAATCCATTTAAAATTCAATATATTTAAATAATCTTGCAATGATTTTTTCAATAACAGTAATTAATTCAGGAATGATTTTATTAATAATAATAATTCAAAATAATTAATGTTTGTATTAAATAATAGTAATTGTTTTGTTTTTTTTTGTTTTTTATTCGTTTAAATAATTTGGTACTGTTCATAAAAATTACAGATTGGAGATACTGAAATCAAACAGGTGCAACAATTTAGATATCTGAAAAGTGTATTAACAGAGGATGGAAAGTGCAAGACAGAAATCTGAAGGTGCATTGTGATAGTGAAAGATGCCTTCCAAAAGCTGAGTGACATATGAAGAAACAGAAAAATATCATTAGAAAAAAAAAAAGAAATACTGAACTGTTATATAGTATCACTCCTATGCCAGTGAATACTAGATAATATCCTCACAGAGACATGAAGCAACAGAAATGTTTTGCAGAAGGATGCTGAGAGAGACTGAGCGTGGAGACAATGGCAACAAAAAGGTCACATACTTAACATCAGGAAGACAGTTGAAATTTCTGGGAAACATAATGAGGAAAGTGGGCTTGGAAAATTTGATACCCATAGGACAGATTGATGGTAAGATGGCTAGAGGAGAGCAATGTATAACCTACCTAGTGAGCTCCAGTGAATGGATGGTGGAGCAGGGTTTAGGAGAGATGGCAAAAAGACAAAAGTTATTAAGAGCTACAAAGAACGGGAAATTGTAGTAAGCCATGGTCACCAATGTCCTGAAGGGACACGGCATATAGTATAATTGAACAGATTCATTATTCTGACTTATTTAGATAACTCCGTAAAATTTTTGCGGCTTCAGTAAAAAACTGTAAACAAATTTGTTATGAAATGTCAGACAGCAACAATAGTTACTATGAATATAAATTCTAATATTTTTAAAATCATTTACTTTATGTCTTCTAAAAAAATGCTTTCAGAAGGCAAGATTATATTTATTTTATATTTTCTTTCAATGTAAACGAATTAATGACAATATATATGAAATATGAAACCTTTAGAAGCTTTTAACAAGAAGACTATATTTTACACTAGGAGAATGACAAACAAGGGAGGTTATCAATAGAAAGTCCAAGGGAGATTAATAGAAGATTAGCAAGTGTTCAGTAAACAGACACCACCGAGGTAGTATTGGTTAAGTAAGTGATGTTTTTATAATTTACAACTTCATTTTAAAAAGGCAGATATAAATTCTTTGGCAAACTTGGATCTTTCCCTTGACACCGCTATTATTTTAACGACCTTCACTCCTCATGGTTATTGTTTTAAAAAGCAATAAAACTGTAATGAAACAAACATGATGTGAATTAATTAATTTGCTTCATAAATTGCTATTGTTATTCTTACTTTCGATGTATAAGACGAAAACAAATACTTTGGGCAAAAAGTGCGTTTTATACACCGAAAAATATATTAAATAAATATTAATTAACGTTTTTACTCAGACGTTGGTCAGAATTTGTCATATTTTTAATCCCGAATAGTCTTTTTAGTTCCATCCGGATATGAAGCGAATTCAAAACAAAAATATCGCGAGGAATAAAAGAAGGTGCATCAGAAATCGTTTGGAACGTTAAACTTCACAATATCATTCACGCCGAAGGACAGGCTATTTATGGTTAAAAGAAACTAAAGTTTTAAGTATGAAAAAAAGATCACGTATATTCAATTATCTTGTTCGGTTCGTTAGTTTTTTTATCGAGAGGGAGAAAAAATAAGCAAGAAACATTATAAATTAAATAAATAAATAATATTCTCTAAGATAAATATACAAATTAACATAAGTTTGAATTTGAATTGAACTAAAAAAATATATGGATAAAAAAAAGTATCTTTCTCACCCTCCGTTGATGAGAATCCAACCAGTAAACATTTGGTTCCTTGAAACGAAGTATACCGACTTTGGTAACGACCACCTTGGAACCTTGTATTTGCAATCCGGGTCCCAACACAACCTTCAAGGTCCCTTCTAGTGCTTTTAAATTATCGATGGTTTGTCCAGGCATAAAGAGTGTGTTAACCTCAGGGGCTTGTTCTATAGCTTCGTTTTCAATTTCATCATCTAACTCCATTTCGTCCGCCATGTGCTTTAAATTATCCGCATAGAGTTACTTCCCTTGCAACGAGTCGCTCTTCAGTGAAGAAGTCGCTAAAATTCAGGATTTTGAAAACAAACACATGGAACATCAAGAAGAGGATGAATGAATGGATTCGAAAGTTTGAAATTTGTGCTGTTTTTCCTACGCTAAGTTAGTACTTGAAAAAATCTATATGTTTTAAGTAACTGAATTTTTAGATTTGTCTAACTTTAGTTATGAAGATTGTAAAAGATAATTGATGGTCGTGGTCGATCGACAGGTTTTTCACAAGTCATCCTCATAATTGTGTCTCTTTGGCAAATGTTCCAGATCAAATCCCAGATCATTACCCTGTTAGCTGTTTTTATTTTTATTTATTGTAAATTCTGCTATCTCAGTTACTAATTCATTCATTTATTGTGTAAAAAAAAATAAATCCGGAAACCAGTCTCTAGTCGCTACATTTTTTAAAGCTTGAAATTGATCCACGCACTCTTCTTTTTTCAACCCCCTGAGGATAAAAAAAAAAAGCAGATTCAATGCACGCGTATAAATACCCTCTTTTTCTATTATAAAATGTTCAAATAGACAAAATATTTTCATTCAGAGATAAGGTTTTCCATGGATAACTTACAGACTGTTGTTTTTAGCACCTTTTTTTTAGGTTAAAATTTTAGCAGTCAAGACGTCCTTTTTTTTTTTATCTTTATAAGCAAAGTTCGTTATTAAAACACTAATGTAAAAATACACATTTGGCAGTCTTGTAGGTACCTCCATGAGATCGCTAAAAAAAGAGCATAGCATGATGAAAAAGACGCCAAACTTGACGAAAACAAAATTTTATCGTCTAAAATATGTTTATTTAAAAGATCAAAGTTTTAAATATTTTTAAAAATTTTTCCTTTTTAGAACATTCTGAATTTTGATTTAAAAATCCTTGTTTCCCTTTGTATCACTGGAACTACAATTTTTAGCTCTTTTTTTTTTTTTTTTTTTGCATGACACACATTATTAATTTGGAAAATTAAAAATAATTGTCGGAACAGTTAATGAAACCTTCAGAAATTATTCACAGATGATCGAAATTATTATAAATATGTTGTTGATTTTTATCAAAGTCATGGTAGAAATATTTTTTTATATTACCCCCCAACTAATTTTATGAAAACTCTAGAAATTCGATTGAGTCCAATTTAGTAATTACAATAAAAGCATAAGGCTTTGAGGAATACAAATCATATTACATTTTGTTTTTAATTGGACCACCCCACACACACACCTGAAAATCAGCTCTGAATTGTAACATACAAAACTCAATAAAACAAAGATATTATTTAATTTCAAATGCCTTTATTTGCTTTTAGTTGTTTTTATGAATATGGACAATATTTTCTGAAAGCAAAAAAATTTTTGATGAAAAATGAATTTTTAATACAATTATTTGTTATTTCTTTAACTATAATAGATTTTTACGTTTAAGTTGTTAAAATATTATAAAATTAGTTAAAAGCGGCATCCACTTTCGTAATGTCCTTATGAGATAGATCTTTTTTAGCACATTGTAAATTGTATTGTTTTGACTAATCAGAAGACCCGCAGTAATTAAGAAATGTAATTTTGTGTTTATAACCAGAATACAATTAAGTTGCATTATTTGAGTTAAGCATTGTTCTCCGCTGTTAAGGCCTTTACTTTTTGCGAAACACATGTGGAGAAGTTAATTTGATTTTTCAATTTCAACTGCAAAGGGTACCTACAAGTATCAGTATCATCTTCTGAAATTTATGTGATCTTATTTTTGCATTAATCTCAGTTATGACATTTTTTCTATAAATGAAATATCAAAATTAATAATAAAATGAATGAAAATACAAATAACACAGTAAAATGTAGTAAATGTACATAAAATACTATAATTTTATGTACACTTCTGATAAAATTCCATAAGAAAGGTACCTATAAATTAATTAGATACCTTTCTTATGAAATGTAATCTCACTTTTAACAGTCTTATTTTAATTTCTTTATAATATATTTTCCATAAAGCATCGTAAACATAAAAGCTAAGTACAAAAAGCAAAAAAAATTAGAGCACTGAAAGTTTTCCTTAAAAATAACAAGTTAAATAATTTGTTCACTTAAATCTAATTAATTTCACTTTTCTCATTCCATAGAACAAATTATCCTCACGTAATCCGTCAATATGTCATTCATCACCTGTCAAGTGATGCGAAAGGTTATGACCTGCTTTGTTTTATTTTCAAATTACACCTTTTCGGCGCAAAAGCTAAGTTAAGATTGGTTCAAAATATTTTAAATAAACATTATAATTTCTGATTTTCTTAAAATAAGTTTTGAAAAAATGATAATTGATTTTTAAAAGAATTTCAAACAGAGATTTTCATTTTTTTTTATAAAATGGAAAAAAATGGTTGCCATGATTGATTATCTGTCAATTTTGCTGACTCAAAAAAAAGATTTTTAACAAAAATTTCAGACGTGCTAGGAACGATTAAAAAATGTAAAAAATACCCCCAAAATACATTGATCTTTCCTCTTAATAATAACATAAACATTTAGACAATAAAATTTTGTCTTTTTCATCATGCTATGCTCTTTTTTTAGCCATCTCGTGGAGGTACCTATCTCATTAATTATTTGCTTTGTATTTTTCTGGCTTTGGTTTGGTTGTTTTGTCTTGTTTTCTTTATTTAATGCTGAAATCTAAATATGAAAATTCAAACTTTAAAACTTCCAATTAATTCAAGAGAATGGTATTATTTCATGATTAAGTTATAATTACTTAGCTGTACTTTTTTACTAAATAATATTACAAAAAAATCAAACTAGGGTGAAAAGTTATTTCCCCTGGAAGAAATGAGATGGGATTCATTAATCAGCAATTTTTTTTTATATATATGCCATGTCTTCAATTTTACTATATTGTCATTTTGCTATAAAAATGTCTTGCTGGTCATTTTGCTATAAAATTAAAAAAATTTTTGCTGGTAGTTTTACTATAAAGGTGCATTTTTGGTTTCAGTGAAAAATAGAAAGGGTAAATTTGCAGATAATAGCCCAATGACAAATTTAAAAATAAAAATATATAATTCCTGGTGTAAACTTGCCTGATTGTACCAAAAATAGCATTAAAAGTTGGCGGAAATCTATCTTTTAGCAGATATTGACAATTTTAGTTGGGTCCCAGTTACCCTTGATTCTTGCACAAAAGTTTACCTGTCTTTTCTCCTTAATAGTATATTTTTCTCATATTCTCTAACACTCAGTAACCTCTTGTTTCTTTGTGGCTTTATTGTTTTGCTTGGGTTGAAGTGATTAAAAACATTATTATTATTATTATAAAAATAAAATCACTGAAATGATTTACACTTTGGGTACTAGAGAGTGAACACTAAAAAACTGAAGATTCAATTGGTACTGTATTTTCTTGTGTTTCTGAAGCTAAAATCAGAGAATAAATTGCATCCTTGAGTATAATATGACCCCGTGTTTCTGGAGCTAAATTCAGGGAATAAATTACATTTTTGAGTACGACCCCATGTTTCTGAAGTTAAAAACAAGGAATAAATTACATACTTGAGTATAATACAACCCCATGTTTCTGAAGCTAAAAACATAATAAACTACATCCGTGTTCATAATATGACACTGTGTTTCTAAAGCTAATAACAGAGAATAAATTAAATCCTTTAATATAATATGACCCCAGTGCTCATATGAATACAATATGAGAACCAGTAATAAGGAGTGCCAGAAAAAAGCGCTAATAACAACAAAAAATTGCAATATGAGCTCTGGTAAAAACATATAATGATAACTGCAATATGAGCACTGGTAAAAAGTGATGTTGAAGACATTAGGTTTATAATACCCAGAAATTCATACACAGATGTCCTCAAGGACACATGACACAGTGGATAAAGGCATTAGTTAGATCCAATGGCAGGACCCAAAAAGTGTGAGGTCAATACCTGATTATGGCAGTGGAGAATTTGGAGAGGGAATTAAGCAGGAGATGACTGGTAACTGACATCCATTAGGCATGGCACGTGGATCTAGAACAGTCTACCACAGTGAGGGAAATAAAGGGTTCAGTTCAACATTCCAACCACCTGAAGAAGGCCGGAGCATACAATGGCTAAAACATTGTAATAAATATAGCGACAAAGATGAGGACAATAGTCCAAATAATATAAATAGTGTAATCCCTGATTTTATTATATTTCTGTATATTAATAAACTATGAAAAAAAAATATTGTCTTTCATTAAGAATGAAGAGGGAAAAGAAAACTTTATAACAAAAACAATAAAATCAAAATATAAAGAAACAAATTTTATCTTGTTTGAAAAACTAAGTGTATTTGCAATCTTGCTGTTTTAAATAAGAAGTCTCTTAAGTTGAGTAAATATCTGAAAACATGTAATTGTTGTAGGCTTTAAGAAACCTTTATTCAACTAAGAATACAAGGTTTGCGTATAGTGTCCTTTTATAGTCCCAGTAAACAGAAATAGCTCTCTCAAAGAGGTGAGTGACAAAACAAAGGGAGACCACTCCTGATTATTCATAACTGCAAAAATATATAATACGACTCCATCTTTTTGCCTTTAATTTTCATTCAAAATTTCCCGTATTATGCACAAAAAATATGCCAGATTAATTTCTGATTTTGCTCTTAGCAGCCAAAGAAATAATTCGTCTGTAGTTAAATAAAAAAACATTATAATGATAAAATGCACTTATTTTTTTTTTTTGACTTTTCTAAATAATTCATGCAATTTCTATTCTTATCAGTTGTTATATAAATTCTTGGAGTGAATTATGTTGGATGAAGAGATGTCTTATTCGCATCCATCACTGGTGACCACTGACCATTTTAGCCGAATATTTGATTTTGTCGGTCAACATCAATGGATTTACAATTTTCAATTGACCAATTTTTTTTCTGAAGAAGTGTGGACTCAAGCACCCGCAGAAGTGAGTACATTTTTTTTTTTTTCTTAGTGTAGTGAGGTTGCTGTAGAAGAGATATATAGTAACAGTAGCAAATGATTGGCACTTTTAAATGCTCATGCTTTCAAAAAGAAATTACCACTTCTTTTCTTTTGCCAAATGAAAGGTGCTCTTTCACTGACGTTCAAGTAAGTAGTACTTGTTTAAGAAATGTGCATATTCAGACTCTGCTGTTAATGAAAGGAGTACATTTTCTACAGCCAAACTTTTATTATTTTATTCCTATTTTATGGAATAAATATTTCAGGCTGTTTTGAATTTTGCTTTCATCTTGTATTGGTTTGTTAAAAAAAAATATTGAGTGTATAAAAAGTTTATGCGAAAAAAAAAAATAACAGTTCTATGCACCTTATTCCCTACTCCCCTACATAAAAGTGAAGAATTTTATAACCAGTGAGAATTTTGGGCAGAAAAGTTGAAAAAATCTTTTTCTGCTTTCAGAATATGAAAAGGAACAGTACTTGAAAATATTTTTATTAGTATTCATAAAGATATTTTTTAGTACAGTGATACCTCAGCTTAAGTCATTTTTGAAATTAAATCATTTCTTCTTAAATATTATATGGAAAAATAAACCTTAGGTTGTTTTACTTAGGTTTACATAGGCCGTTAAAATTATTAGAAACATCAAAACACTAAAATAACAAACACATATAAAATCATATTTAAATAAATTTTAAAATAATATTATGTATATTACATATATATATATATATATATATATATATATATATATATATATATATATATATATATATACACACACACACACACACACATATATATCATAAAATCATCAAAAACAAAAAATGTCTTAATAATAAAGTATGATCAGCAGATGTTTTTATTTCAAATTCCTGCTAACAGGCAGCACTTGTGCATTGTTTTCTTTTTTCATTTTTGCCTATGTCTCCGAAGAAAAGTCCCAGTGGAAGTTCTAATGCTAAGCTTTCAAAAAGCAAATTATTAAGAACATCATTGGGACTTGTTAACAGAAAAGTAATCTTATCATAGTTATTTAACACTACAAACAAATAATTAAAGTATAAAAAAGATTTTTTTTAGAAACACATGTTAGCTTGCATTTTTAAACCATTACATGTTTTAATGTTCAACCCAAATACAAATTAAAATGTCTGCTTCCGAAAGTAAATAGTTTAAAACTAAAAATAAATAAATTGACCCTTTTTTATATCGTACTGCAATTAACCAAAAATAAATAAAACAAAAAAAACTCCATCTTTGATCTTGTTTTAATTTTAATAATAGCCTAAATGATTTAACTTGTTGGAGGTATTTAAAATAATGTAAAAGTTTAAAAATATTTTAAAAAATAAACAAAGAAAGCTAAATTAAGATTCAGTTGTTTCTGTCATTTCAATTATTTATGAAAACAAAAATGTAATGACACTCGTATATATAATTAACAGACACAGACACACAAACTTACCTACAGACATTGTAATGGATAGAAACTCAGCCAACAAAGCTTAAACTTTCTTAGACTCTAGCAATTTGTTTGCCAAAATGATTTAACCTTTAGGATTAAATCAAATAAAAAAAAAAATGCCAGCAACGTCTTAAAGTATTTCAGTATTAACCACTTGAAAAAAAAAAAAGAGAAAAGAAATATCTCCCCAACTCAGATAGCAGACCATGAGATTTTACAATTTCATTTTTTATTTTAGGAGCAACAAAAGGAGTATTGCGGGGATATGTACATTAGTGTTAGAGTCGGGAAACCAGTGTTTCCTGGAATGTTTATCCCACAACAAAAATGGCAGACTTGTGTGTGTGTCTGGGTAATAAAATACAAAGAAACAACTAAAACCAATATAAATATATACATACAAACGATAATGTATTGTTAACCAGACTAATAATTTTTTTTGTTTGAAAAATAATTTTATTAGTGTCTCCAAATATTTTGGAAATGTTTTAAACTCACAGAAAAAATATGTTAATTTTAACATCACATTTAATCTTATAGTTATTTAGCTCCACAAGTAAATAATCAAACTAAAAAAAAGGATTTTTTAGAAACACATATTAGCTTGCATTATTAAACCATTACATATTTTAATGTTGAACCTGAATACAAACTAAAATGTCTACTTCTGAAAGTAAATATTTTAAGAGTAAATAAATTTAAATAAATTGACCTTTTTTTTTTTTACATCATACCGCAATTAGCAAAAATCAAAATTCACTCTTTAAGAAGCTTGTTCTAACTTTAATAAAAGCTCCAATGATTAAACTTGTTGAATTAATGTAAAAGTGTAAAAAAATTTTAAAAAAAGCAAAGGAAAAAGAAAGTGGAATTGAAATCATTTCTGTTGTTTCAATGATTTATGAAAACAAAAGCATAAACCTTTATTAAATGAAATGACACTAGTATATATAATTAACTGACACAGACACACAGACACACAAACTCATGCATGGACATTGTGACAGATAGAAACTCAGTCAACAAAGCCTAATCTTTCTAAGACTGTAGCAATTTGTCTACCAATCTACTAATTAATCTTTAGCTTTGGATCAGATCAAAAGAAAAAGATGCCAACATCGTCTTAAAGTATTTCAGCATTAACCACTTAAAAAAAAAAAAAAAAAATATTTCATTAACACAAAACACACACTCAGATGTCAGCCCTTCAAATTTGACAATATCATTATTTTATTTTATTTTAGTAGCAACAAAAAGAGTGTATTATCACTTTTTTATAAAATGGAATGGTTCCCACTTTTTGTGAAAAATAAGGGCCCTCCACTCCAGCAAAAAGGAACATGCTTAAGGATCTTGTTACTTTCAGGAGGACTCCTTAAAGCCATGGTAATACTAAATTAGAACAAAAAGAGATATCCCTAGACATCGTCAGCAGAACAAGAATAATCAACTTCTTAGATTAGCTAAAGGGTTCAATTCAAAATTTCCTGAAGGTTACCAAGATCAGCAAACACCTGATGAAGGCCATAGAATACAACAGCCGAAGCATTATAATAATAATAAAAAATAAGAATATTAGTCTGAATGTAAATACAATCTGACACCCTTGGGACCAGGCAACGGCCAGACCACAAAAAAATGCCAGATGACAGAAATGTACACTATTTAAATTATTCGGACTATTGCCATCATATTTGTCACCATATTCATTACGTTTCGGCAGTTGTACACTCCAGCCTTGTTCAGGTGGTTGGAATGTCAAACTGAACCCTTTATTTCACTCACTGGTGCAGACTGTTCTAGTTCCACGTGCCATGTCTAATGGATGTCAGTTATCAGTTATCTCCTGTTAATTCCCTCTCCAAGTTCTCTACCGCCTTAACCAGGTATTGAACTCACACTCTTTGGATCCTGTCACTGGATCTAACACCTTTATCCACTGTGCCATGTGTCCTATGTATGAATTTCTGGGTATTATAAACCTAATTTCAGCAACCATTTTTTACCATTATCATACACGTTTTTACCAGAGCTCATATTGCAATTTTTTGTTGTTATTATCGCTTTTCTCTGGCACTCCTTATTACTGGTTACATATTGTATTCATTGACTGAAATGTTGTAATAAATATGGCAACAAAGATGAGTCCAAATAATTTAAATAGTGTACATAAAACCTAATCTCAGAAATATAGACAGAGACAGAAATCATTCTTAAAAAACATCCTATGTAAACATTGTCTTGCCAGATCCTTCCACATATACAAGGTATCCATAAAGTTTGTGTGCACTTTAAAAAATTTATAACTTTATTTGTATTTGCAATAGAAATAATTTGTAAAAAGGATTAGAAAGAAATTAATCTATATTTTTTAAGGTTTTATTGAAATTTATTTAAGTTTCCACATGTCCTCCATCATTAGCAATAAAAAGGGTAATACGATTTTGCAGTTCAAGGAAAACATTTGCCAACTGATTTTCAGTAATGCCTGAAATCACATTAGTTATTTTAGCTGTACTTAAAACTAGGTACATTAAACTTTATAACATTTTTTACAGATTATTTCTATCGCAAATACAAATAAAGTTATAAATTTTTTAAAGTGCACACGAACTTTATGGACACCCTGTATATTGTTGTGTTATCAAAAGTAGAACAAAGCTTAAAACAGGAAATAAAACAATCATTAATGCTTCCAAACAAGTTTTTTATTGTTTCATGCAACACAAGAACTAAAAAAGGAGCGTAAAACCTCAAAATAATATCCTGAATGGGTAAATATGCAACTATATATGAGAAATAAGCATCTGTATCACCAAAACACTCTACTGCAGAAAGTTGTAAACAATGTGTTGCACTGCCCTCATAGCTGCTCAACAAACTAGTAGCAGCTGATTCAAAAAAAATACCAGACCATGGAAGTTGCTGGATCACAGATTACCAGATTATGAGGTTGGGCTATAATTCTAACTCCTCATCCGAGAAACTCAGATAGAAAAGTCTTATAATTGTCCTTCCATTGTCTTTCACTCATCCCAATATGGTGTATAACTGGAACATCTTTACTGCTTACTGTTGCTTGGTAAAACACATTACGCATGAAGCATTTTACATCCAAAAGAGAATAATGACAGGAGAGGTTTGGGTTAATATCACTCACAGAAAGCACTTTTTGATTGTACTTTTTTAATATAATGAATGATGTTCTCTATACAGCTGTACTTGAAAAAAGTATTTCTGTTGAACAGTTTGGTTTGATATGTTTTACAGCATATCAATCTTTTTTCAAGTTATTTAAAGCCAAATTCTGTCATTTTGATAAACAATAGATAGGTAGACATAGGTCCATTTTTGCATGAAAGTCAAAACAGTAGATGTACAGGCTGATCTGAAAGTCTTGTTACCCCATACATAATATAACTTTCTATTTCAGATGACTGACACAAGCTCCTACAGTTTGGAAGAGAGGTAGGTGTGACAAGACTTTCGGACCATCCTGTAGATCTGGTTTACATTAAAAAAAGGTAAACATAGCCTGGGTTTACATGCAAATCAAAAATGTAGATATAGGTCTGGTTTGTGCTTGACCCCAAAAGGTAGACATCAGACTGGTTTGCACTAAAATTCAAAAGATAGACATAGATCCAAATTTGTGCTCAAGTTCGAAAGGTAGACATAGGTCTGGTTTGCATTTGAGTCCAAAAGGTAGACATAGGTCCTTTTTCTTCCAAGGTTTGCAGGTGTCCCTATGGATGATGACTTCATTTGGGAAGTTCTTGCCACTCTGCAGTGAATGCAGTTGATATATTCTGGGCCTCTCCAATATAGCCTCCATACATGACATAATCTTGAAAAAAAACAGACACGGACTCTTGAGATGAAAATATTTTGATATACCTTGTTATATACAGTTCAATTTTTACCCTCTTTCACCCCCAGAAGAAGACTGACTATATATTAGGCAAAATAATCCTTTTTTTAAGTAAATAATAACTATGCTTTTCTGAATATAAATGTCTTTGTCACAAGAAACTGACTTTATTTTTTGTTTTATTACTAGTGGCTGTCTTTTCTCACCAACATGTCTGCTGATGAGCTAAAAGAATTGCCCTACAAAGCATGCTGGGTAAGTTTAACTTTTTCTGTTATATTTTTACCACTTATATTCTTGTAAATGTTGATAAGAGAGATTGATTCATTTCCTATGGCTAATTAACACTTGCAGGTTATTTAAAGCTAGAAAATATTTTTAGATTTTTTTTTGAGACAATAGAGATTTAGTGATAATAGTCTTACTAATTAACCCATAGCTGAGGGAGAAAAAGTGGATTCATACTTTTCTCAAGGGTATTTGTATGTAAGTGAATATAACAAATCCAGCAGGAGATGGAACTCAGCAAAGTGACAAAGATTATGGACAGAGAAATAAAGAAACATATTTAAAAAAGCTCATGGTTTTTTATAATACAGAAGTGTTGAAAAGTTCTCAGCCTGACTTATTTTACAAAATCAAGTGCGCAGGTGGTGCGATGGATAGTGGCTCAGATTGAGAAATCAAAGAGCTGATTTCAAATTTCAGTTGAGTTGGTTGCATTCACTTATCCACAAATACCTTTGGGAAAGGTATGAATCTGGCTCTTATCTCCCCTGCTATGAGTTAAATAGAATGAAATTTGTAAATAATTATCTTTTATATTCCCACCTAAAAAAAAAATCTTCACTTTTTAAAACAACAAACATTGCTGAGGAGTAGATATTTACTCAACCTCCCATGAGGTCAGGTTGTGACACAAGTTCGGTTTAATGTGGGGAGCCTGAGTGTGTGCACCCGAGCAAGGAACAAAAATTCCCCGAGCCCCCACAACCGTCAATTGCGCTGGGCTCGGTGCATGCACTGATCCTTCTCTCTAGTGAAATAAGAAGGCACGGCTTCGGGCAGCTGTTCCCCAGGGCTGGGCACCTCTTCAGTATAATTTTCCATTGACAGAGAAGCCCCTGAGCACACTCTGTCCAAGGACAGAGACGCAACTGAGAGATAAGTAGATGTCTACCTACTCAAAAAGAGTAAGGTTCACACTGTGTGATTTTCTAAGCGTAGTTTAGATGTGGCACAAGGCCGAAAGTATGGGGCGCCCAGTAAGGATCGAACACACTACTCAGTCGTAATTATTCTAGCTAGACAAGCTTGCTAACCATTACACCACCGCGGGGTGCCCAACATTGCTGTGGAGTAAAGGTAGATGAAATAATAACAGTGGTATCAATGGAAAAATGGTCCTTTTAACACTGTTTTTTTGGCAGGTATGAATATTCTATCCAGTTTAGCATACCAAATTGAATGCAATCTTCCAAGTTTGTGCTATGCACTTAAGAAAAACAATAGAATGTTACAAATGTTTGGCGTGTCAATAATATATCTAAATTGATTTTCAAAATATATAAATATTGATATTTGTCCTTCCTCTTCAGTGGAAGGATGTGTGGCTGGTGTAATGGATAGTGGCTTGGATTGAGAAATCAGAGAGCCAAGTTTGAATTCTAATTAAGTTAATTTAATTTATTTCCTTCCCTGCTGGTGGAATGATTAAAAAATATATTCTGTGCACTACTTTGGTTTGCATTTTTTCACTTTGTTTCATTTTATTTCTTTTGATTCATTTTGAAGACAATCATCAACAAAGTTTTCGCCCAACGTACAATAATGACTGGTTGTATTTTTTAAAATGTTTTATCGTATGAGATTTTGTAGCTGGTCATATGTCCAAGGTTGTGAAAGAGGTAAGTAATTAAATGAGACGTGATTGTATATGAATTAATCTTCTTATTCTGCAGGATGGATGTCCAGACTCACTGCAACATTTCCTGGAAACGTGTTTAGACTTGTCCTTGCCTCGAAACCAGACAGACACTCTGGAACCGACCAAACTTGAGCCACGTTTTCTCCAGGGTCTGACTGCTAAAAAGCAACATGAGGTCACTTACATGTCCAGTTACATTCATCGCCTTGCAACAAAGAACAGCATCCAACATGTTGTGGACGTTGGTTGTGGTTTAGTAAGTTGGGCCATAAATACTTTTCTCTAAGCACACCATAATAAAAACAGCTGATGGCTGAAATAGTAGCTAATTTGCATTTAGCATTGGTGGCTGAAATGATAGCTGATTTGCATTTAACATTGATGGATGAAATAGTAGCTAATTTGCATTTAGCCTTGATGGTTGAAATAGTAGCTAATTTACATTGGGCATTGATGGCTAAATAGTAGTTAATTTGCATTGAGCATTGATGGCTGAAATAGTAGCTAATTTGCATTTAGCATTGGTGGCTGAAATAATACTGATTTGCATTTAACATTGATGGCTGAAATAGTAGCTAATTTGCATTTAGCCTTGATGGCTGAAATAGTAGCTAATTTACATTGGGCATTGATGGCTAAATAGTAGTTAATTTGCATTGAGCATTGATGGCTGAAATAGTAGCTAATTTGCATTTAGCATTGGTGGCTGAAATAATACTGATTTGCATTTAACATTGATGGCTGAAATAGTAGCTAATTTGCATTTAGCCTTGATGGCTGAAATAGTAGCTAATTTACATTGGGCTTTGATGGCTAAAATAGTAGTTAATTTGCATTGAGCATTGATGGCTGAAATAGTAGCTAATTTGCATTTAGCATTGGTGGCTGAAAGAGTAGCCAATTTACCTATAGCTGAAAGAGTAGCTAATATGTCTCCAGTATTGATCACTGGAAGATTATCTAATTACCTCAAGCATGAAAATAGTAGCTAATTTGCTTTGGTGGTTAAAATAGTATACCTTTTGCATAGATAGCTGAAATATTAGCTAATTTGCATCAAGCATTAATTTCAAAAGTACATCATGAAGTTCATGACAAAATATAGGTTGTCAGGTCAAAATTGATGAGCTTCTTAAGATAAAAAATACTGGTACCTGTTATTAAAAGCAATTTGTCAAAACTGTGCCATTGCATAAAATGTACTAAACCAGGTCACTCCTAAATCTGTTTAGGTGTGGTAATTGGTAAAAGAAGTAGAGGAAGGCAGCCAAAATAACGACGTAACAATGTGCATGAAGAGTCTGGTCTTGATCTAACAGCATTAGGATTGGGTTTCTGGTTCCTTCTAAATTCTCCTTCAACTCTACTAACATCTCTGCCTCAACTCTGAAACTTGGGAATGGGATGTTCTGGCATAGACCATTTGGCGTAGCTGATTCAACATAGGAATTTTTTGACAGAGGGACAATTAGGCATCAGATTACTACTTCATTGTTATAATCAAATTTGTTCTCTCTCTCTCTCTCTCTCTCTCTCTTATTAGTCAAATTAGTATTTCGTTGTTGTATGCTTGAATAGTCCAATTTAAGAAAAAGAGTAGTTGGAGGCATTTTTATATTTCCTTCAATGTAGCTTCATATTTTCCAGTCGTAAAAGCCATTTTTATTCCAAATGGAAGCAAATATTTTATCAAAACATGAAAGGAACAAAGTGATACATGATGGATACCTTTTTTATTTTTGACGCAACGAGCAAAAGAGAAGTTGAATCATTAAATCCTATTGAATTCCTGAAAGGTGTTGCTCATAATTAAGAAATGAAGAAGTAATTTCTAAGATTAAATAGCTTTATTACGTTTTTTTTAATTCTTTATTTATTTTTTTATTTTTTTAAATACAATATTTTTAATTTAGGTTTTTACATTATTTCATTAGTGTCTTAATAGAATCCTTAATTCCTTAAATGAATAAAAAAAATCACATTGAAAGTTAAGTGTTTTCAATGCTTGGGGGGGGGTCTCCAATCAGACAGTGACATCAACCAAGGCAATAATGTCACTAAGATGCAGGAAGTTACAGGGAGTGAAAGGTAAGAATTTAGTGAGAAGCAAGGAGAGGACAATAAAAGGGGGGGAATGGGATATCGGAATTTTTCAGCAGGGTGACAATCAGGTCTCAGATTACTACTTCGTCGTTATAGTCAAAAGTGTTTGTTTATTTCTCTCTCTCTCGTCATTATATGTTCAAATAGTTCAATTTATGAAAAAGAGGAGTTGGAGGTATTTTTATATTTCCTTCAATACAGCTTCATATTTTTCCAGTCGTCAAATCCATTTTTATTCCAAATGGAAGCAAATATTTTACAAAAACGTGGAAGAAACAAAATGATCCACGATGGATAAATAGCTTTCCTAAGTTTTTTTTATTTTTTTTTTAAATACAATATTTTTAATTTAAGTTTTTAATTTACATGATTCAATTAGAGTTTTAATAGTATCCTTAATTCTCTAAATGAATAAAAAGTCATATTGAAAGTTGGGTGTTTTCAATGCTTGTATCATTTTGGGGGGGGGGGGTGCATCCGATCAAAGACGGTGACATCAAAACAGTTTGACTCCTAATGGCTGTGCCAAATAGTCCAATTATTTCTCTGATGCCAAATCAGCCACGCCAAATGGGCTATGCCAAAACATACTAAACTCCTGAAACTTATACTGTTATTAGGTTTCCAGTTCCTTTTAAAGTCTTTTCTTTCTTCTTCACTTTTGGTAGCCCCTTGCGTCTGATTGGGTTGTTTTGAGGCGCATGGAATCACCTCTTAATTGCTGTTGTTCCCAGGTCTACCATGACCTGGGGGGTAATACCGGTTAGAGTCCCAGCTATGGGCAAATAGTTAACCCCAACACACTGGGGTCAAAACACTATGAAAGTTTAGATAAGTAATAGATTTTTATAGTAAAAATACCAGCAATAGATTTGACTTTTGACAAAAACCCACTTTACAAAAAAAACATCAATGAAACCTGATCTACAAACTGATTTCTTACACTGAATACATATCCCATTCATATGAACCTATCCTAAAAATCTTGTTGGCATTAAATAACCCATTGAGGTTGATATGCTGTAAAACCAAACAAAATGAAACCCCGCCCTGGGCATCCACATCCTGGGTAAGACGATAAACTACATCTGACAGCAAGGCCTCTGGTCAGGAGGTTTTGAGGAGCGTGGAACCTCTTCTTAATTGCTGGTGTTCCCAGGTCCACCTGACCCAGGATGGTAGTACCTGTTAGTGCCCGGGCTATGGGTAAACAGTTAACCTTCATACAAGGTTTAAAACACTATGGAAGTGTAAAAATAGGTTTTAATTACAGCAATACATTTTTTTTTTTAAATTATTACTAGCAATACCTTTTGGAAAAAAAAATATATTACCAGTAATACATTTTTGAAAAAAGTATTAGCAGCAATAAAATCTTTTTGACGTTAAATAATTCATTGAGGTTGATATGCCGTAAAACTAAATAAACCAAACCAAACCCTTGCGTCTTAGTGGCATTATTATCTTGCTTGGGTTGAATTGATTATAAAAAGAGGTATAGACAATCAAATGTCATTATCAAGCTCTTTGGAGAGAACTCTTTTGTGTTTTTTGCAATCTGACATAGACATTCTTTCACATTCTAGGGTTACTTGGATCATGTGCTGGCACATGTGTATGGGTATCAAATTCTGGGAATTGAATGCAGTGAGGCATTTGCCCACAAAGCTGAAGTCCGAGGTTCTAACCTTGGTGAGGGTATTATTGTTTCTTTCTGTTTTTTTTATTTTATTTTAAATGTTTTTATTATGTTTTAAAATCATTTTCTTTCTTTTTTTCTTTTTTACTTCATCTTAATTTATAGATGTGTATTGGGTTGGCCAAAAATCTTTGTTCGGTTTATTAAGTAAATTTTCTACTTAATAAGCGAACAGACTTTTTGGCCAACTCAGCATTCATTTTTTTTTTTTAAATGTTCATAATATTAAGGATCACTGGAAAAAAGTCTATGACTTCTGATCAGCCATGATATTTAAACTAGATCCCTTACTTATATATATATTTTATTCATACTTGGAATATTATCCTCATCTTTGTTGTTGTCATCCTAATATTTCAGCCGTTGTGCTCTCTAGCCTTCTCCTGGTGTTTCATTGATCCAGATAACTTTCAGGGAATTTAAAACTGAATCCTTTATTATTTTGAGAATAACAACAAAGATAAGGATATTAGTCTGATTGTAAATAATGATAACTGATCATCCTAGAAATTCAAACAATTGATGTGTCTATATTTCTGAGATGAGGTATTATGTACATTATTTACATATTCGGACTATTGTCCTCATCTTTTTTGCCATATTTATTACAACGTTTCGGCCGTTGTACACTCCGGCCTTCCTCAGGTGATTGGTTCAGTTCAACATTCCAACCACCTGAAGAAGGCTGGAATGTACAATGGCTGAAATGTTGTAATAAATATGGTGACAAAGATGAGGACAATAGTTCAAATAATGTAAATAATGTAGATCAATTGATCCTCATAAAACCTAAAAGGTGTAGCATTTTTAAGTTTGTCTTAAAAACTAAAATGTTTTCTTTCCAAATCTCAGTTGGTCATCATAAAACTTTGACTCGCTTGTTTAATTAATGATATTTTTTTCTTGCTTTTAGGTCAACTTTTAAACAATCAAAATGCTGGACACCTGTTTACCTGTGCCTTGAAACTGAAGGAATCTACAGAGAGCTGCCAACAGTTTCAACTGGCCGTTGCCTCCTACTTGACCCCTAGTCTACAGCCACTGATGATGATTGGGCTGCATTGCTGTGGTGATCTGACCCCAACAATGCTCAGATTTTTTCTGCAACTGGACAGTGTACAAACACTGATTTGTGCTAGCTGCTGCTACCACAAAATGGAATACAATGGTTAGTTGACAAGAATAAAAATGATACAGTTGGTAGGTAAACTGTTGTATCAGTTTTTCATTTGAATACTCACCTTTGCAGGAAGGTTCCAAACTAGTGTCCAGTTGGCAGACAGGAGTGAGCTGTAATTCAACACAACCTACATCAAATGCCTTGAGGAGGTAGTGCTGCCCTGAGTCAAGAGGGTGGCTGCTGGAAGATTGTATGTCTGGCAACAGGACTCTGCACATTGCCGCACAAGCAGGAGAACCTAGTCATGGCTATCAGACAATTTTTGCAACCACATCACCCCTTACATCTGGCCACCTAACTACACACCACTCCAAATGACCTAATTTGAGGAAAAAATAGAAATCGATTACACCTTGTCACTCCAGTGGGTCTAAAATTGACCATATGGTGAAAGAAAGGAAGCTAAAGCAGTCGTTTCAATTAATTTGCACAAGGGTGTATGATCATAAAAGAACTGAAAACGTTAACAAAGAGACAAAGAAATTAAATGAAATTGACTAGATTATAAAATATCCAAGCATATACAGGGTACGGCAGATATAACTTCCACATATACATTCCAGAAATACCTTCCAGGTAATGATAAGACCTTAGTGACAATGGTATCCTCATGAAGCTGATGTTGAAGGTATTTCTATCATTGCCTGTATTAAAAAAATGGAAGACCCAATGTCTGGCAACAGGACTCTGCACCATGTCACACAAGCCGGAGAACCAAATCATGACTGTCAGACAATTTCTGCAACCACTTCACCTCTTAAATCTGGCCAACTAACTCCCATGTCTGCAACCCTTTGATTATTATGTGTGGAGTGCATTTGAGTGAGAGACCAATATAACTTCTTGTAACTGTAGAATGAATACGATACTCCTCTTTGCAGGAAGGTTCCAAACTAGTGTCCAGTTGGCAGACAGGGGTGAGCTGTAATTCAACACAGCTCTGTATACACAGGCAAACATAATGGTGAATGATGGATATTTAACTATCACAATATCCATACTAGAACCAGCAGCCAACCATGACTCAGAGAAAGGGATTGCTTAAGTGGCAGAATAGAAGAGTCCAGCTTGCTACATACACCAGCTTTTCTTACCTCTGGGTACTGGAGAGCTTACAATACAGCCAAGCATTAATCCATTTATCCAATATAGCACTGCAAATAGGATAGTACCCAGCTGGATGGGAAAGCATTCTTATTGAGGCGTGTATATCTGTTGCCCCTACTAAGACTTATGCACAGACTTTTAAAAGCAAGCAGATTACAATAGACATCTTGCCTATACTGGACTGTTCAATGCTTAAGGAGCAGGACACTAGTTTGGAACTTTCCTGTGAAGATGAGTATCACATTGATTCTACATAGTGTGGGTCGTTTTATACTCTTTATATACAAAGGTAAATTAAAAATTATCCACGCTTTTGCCATGACATATCTTTATGTTTATCAGATTGCCTTCTGCTCATGCGTGCTCATAGTAGGTACTATTGTGGTTACTGGATTGAAGTTTGGGCTTGATCATGCCAGTTTTCTTGCTGCTGTTACAGTATAAACATGGCCACTCTGTTAACAGTGTGCACCAAGGATGAACAAAGAGCAGTGATCCAAATCTGCAGAGAACATGTTACTTCATCGATGATAACTTGCCGGTTCAACATTACCATCTCTCGAGCTTGCTGAATCTTCTCATAAGCAGTGGAGGTTGACGATGCATCAGCTTCTTTATCCATTCATACACACGTCTGTGTGGTAGTGCACTACCACGGAATTGTGTTAAAAGCCTTTGATGAATTTCAGCCTCTGACATACCTTCCAACCAGAGAAATTGGATCACTGCTCTTTGTTACTCTTTGGTGCAAACTGCTAGTGGAGCGGCCATGTTTACACTGTAACAGCAGCAAGAAAACTGGCATGATGAAGCTCAAACTTCAATCACTTGACTACAATAGTACTAACTATAAGCACGCACGAACAGAAAGTGTGGATAGTTTTTGACTTACCCTCGTAAAAATCAGCATCACATTTTTGGGATTATTTTTTTTTCCTCTCTCTAAAGCAATTATTTACCATACTTGATGGCATATTAGACAAACACTCATTTCGGCAGAACATATTCAAGGAAAATGGTTTTTCTTCAGAATCAGCTGAATCCAAATCAAAATTCTGCCATCAATGTTTTTGTACACATTGGTAAACATGGCTGTTTCATAAGTCAGTAACACTAACCTTCCAATCCTGTATGTTACTTAATAACAATAAAATCCTAGTCCCCCATTTTATGTCCAGTGTATTTATAATGTTGGCCAAAAAGTTTGACTGCCTATTAAGTAGAAAATTTACTTAATAAACCTAACAATTTTCTTGACCAACCCAATATATATCTAGTGCTCGGAAAATTGGTTCACTGTGTCATACCAGACAATTTTTCTCATGAGAATCCATCTTACACGTTTATGAATCTATCATTCATCCTTGCATTGAATACTGCTGCCATATCTGGTCTGGTGCTCCAATTATATATCTCGAGAATTTTGACAAAATTCAGTCTGTAATGTATTTGATCCTGACCAGGTATATTGACTTCAGTCACTTTCTCACCAACATGACATGGCTTCCCTCTAACTTTTCTATAAATATTTTCAGGACAACTGTTTTCACGAGCTTTTTTCCTTAGTTCCTCGGCTGCATGAGTTTAAGCATGCTACTAGATTGGCAATTAGGTCTCATCGTTTTATTGTTGAACTACATGCATGCCACTGTCAGTTCTAATGGTTTCTTTTTTTGCACTTCTCACCTTTGAAACAACAGTCCAAACAATTTAAATAGTGTAAATAATTACAATATCTCATCTTAGAAATATAGACAGATGTTGAAGGTGAATATGGCAATAAAGATGAGTACAACAGTCCGAACAATGTAAATAGTATAAATAATTACAATATCTCATCTTAGAAATATAGACAGATGTTGAAGGTGAATATGGCAATAAAGATGAGTACAACAGTCCGAACAATGTAAATAGTATAAATAATTACAATATCTCATCTTAGAAATATAGACAGATGTTGAAGGTGAATATGGCAATAAAGATGTGTACAACAGTCCGAACAATGTAAATAGTATAAATAATTACAATATCTCATCTTAGAAATATAGACAGATGTTGAAGGTGAATATGGCAATAAAGATGAGTACAACAGTCCGAACAATGTAAATAGTGTAAATAATTACAATACCTCATCTCAGAAATAGACAGCTTTCATTTAATCACCACAGAGTAACTTTTCTGCCTGCCATCACCATGGCTGATGCTAAAATCTTGGAGAGCAGCACTCTGTGCTATTTTGAACTCACGTTTTCTACTGACATGAATTGCTAGGTTGACTGCTAGGAAAGTTGGTTCACTGTGTTGTGTAAGACAATTATTCTTGTCAGAATTTACTTTGTAAATCTATAAATCTAACATCCTTCCATGCATTGAATATTACTGAACTGGTATTCCTACTATATATATCTCGCTTGTGGAACTCTCTTCTGGCTTTTTACTTCCCAGTCAACTTTGATCCTTTATGGTACATGGACTAGATTGGTATCAAGGTTCCATCATTTTATAATTGAAATGGTTATATGTAACCATAAGTTTAATGCTAACATTTTCATTTATTGCACTTCTCACTTGTGGAACTCTCTTCTGGCTTTTCACTCCCCAGACAACTTTGATCTTCAAAATTTCAAGTGCAATGTCAATCATTATCCTCTGTTTTCTTAATTCTTGTTCTTTTATTGTCCTTTCCCTTTAATAGTATATTTTTCACATATCCTCCAGCAGAGCAACTCTTTGTGCCTTCTTGGGTTCATTTTTTTCACTCACATGAAGTGGAATGATTATATTGAATTAATTGCTTGGTTGATTGAATATTGCTGCCATATCTGGTCTGGTGCTCCATCTATATATCTGCAGTCAATTACTGAAACCACTTTATGAGTGAATAGAACGATTACTAAACAGTTTGTATCTGTCTATATTTCTGAGATGAGATACTATGTACATTATTTATATTATTCGGACTATTGTCCTCATCTTTGTTGCCATATTTATTACAACGTTTCGGTCATTGTACGCTCTGGCCTTCTTCAATATGAGCACTGGTAAAAATGGTTGCTGAGACATTAGGTTTATAATACCCAGAAATTCATACACAGATGTCCTCAAGGACACATGTCAGTGGATAAAGGCGTTGGTTAGATCCAGTGACAGGACCCAAAGAGTGTGAGTTCAATATCCGGTTAAGGCAGTGGAGAACTTAAAGAGGGGAATTAACAGGAGATAACTGATAACTGACATCCATTAAACATGGCACGTGGAACTAGAACAATCTACCCCAGTGAGTGAAATAAAGGGTTCAGTTCGACATTCCAACCACCTGAAGAAGGCCGGAGCAGAATATCCTGAGCTTAGTGAAATTGCTTTGAAAACTCTTCTCACATTTCCTTCAACATATCTCTGCCAAACTGGCTTCTCAACCATGAGTGTTATTAAGGCCAAGTACAGGAATAATATGGATAATCATTCTCCATTGCGCGTGGCAATTGTCCTCAATTGAATCACGACTGGAAAAAACTGACAAAGAAGAAGCAAGCTCACCTTTCACATGAGTAAAGATTAAAGTTATATAATTTTTATTTTTGTGTTAATAAACTGCTTATTTTTTTATTACTTTTTATATGTTTTGATATAGAATTATTTTTTGCAAAATAAATGAAAGATAAAAAATTGTTAACTTTTATTGTATTCATTATATATATCATTTCCAGTATAAATTAATATTACCGTGAAATATTACAGGTACATAACACATTGAGTCAAAAAAATACTGGTCCGCCATATCAGATAGTTTGAGAAGTACTGATATAGAGAATTAATGCATTGGTTTATGAATTTAATTTAGACTTTGAATAAAATGTATTTAAAATATTTTAATATAATTTTAATCCATAATATTTTTTCTGAGTGCTTTGTGACTATATTTTACTAATTTTTCTATTCCTTAATAGATAGTAAACAGAGATTTACCAACTTTCCCTTGAGTCAGGCCGCACAGACAGCTTTGGCCTCAGCCAGTGGAGGAATGTCACAGAAACATCTAAATATTTATGCCATGCGTCTAGCAGCACAAGAAACTAGGTAAGAATTTACCTGAATTTTTTTTTTTTAATTGTTAATCATTTAACCCCAAGCAAGGCAATAAAGCCACTAAGACACAAAGGGTTACCATCCTGGGTAAGATGATAAACTACATCCATGCCCTGGTAAGACAATAAACTATATCTAACAGCAAGGCCTCTATTCAGGAGGTTTTGAGGTGCGTGGAACCACCTCTTAATTGCTAGTGCTCTCAGTTCCAGACTAGCCCATGGTGGTAGCACTTGTTAGGGTCCAAGCTATGGGCAAATAGTTAACCCCCAAACTGGAGTCAAAACACTATGAAAGTGTAAAAATAGGTTTTAATACCAGAAATACATTTTTGGAAAATATTATTACCTGCAATGAATTTTTTTAAGAAAATAATTATTACCATTATTACATTTTTGGAAAAAAATATTGCCAGCAATACATTTTTGGAAAAAAATATTGCCAGCAATACATTTTTGGAAAAAAATATTGCCAGCAATACATTTTTGGAAAAAAATATTGCCAGCAATACATTTTTGGAAAAAAATATTGCCAGCAATACATTTTTGGAAAAAAATATTACCAGCAAGACATTTTTGGAAAAAAATATTGCCAGCAAGACATTTTTGGAAAAAAATATTGCCAGCAAGACATTTTTGGAAAAAAATATTGCCAGCAATACATTTTTGGAAAAAAATATTACCAGCAAGACATTTTTGGAAAAAAATATTGCCAGCAAGACATTTTTGGAAAAAAATATTGCCAGCAATACATTTTTGGAAAAAAATATTGCCAGCAATACATTTTGGAAAAAATATTGCCAGCAATACATTTTTGGAAAAAAATATTGCCAGCAATACATTTTTGGAAAAAAATATTGCCAGCAAGACATTTTTGGAAAAAAATATTGCCAGCAATACATTTTTGGAAAAAAATATTGCCAGCAAGACATTTTTGGAAAAAAATATTGCCAGCAATACATTTTTGGAAAAAAATATTGCCAGCAATACATTTTGAAAAAAATATTGCAAGCAATACATTTTTGAAAAAAATATTGCCAGCAATACATTTTTGAAAAAAAATATTGCCAGCAATACATTTTTGAAAAAAAAATATTGCCAGCAATACATTTTTGGAAAAAAATATTGCCAGCAATACATTTTCGGAAAAAAATATTTCCAGCAATACATTTTTGGAAAAAAATATTTCCAGCAAGACATTTTTGGAAAAGATATTACCAGCAATAAAAATCTTGTCGGCATTAAATAACCTATCAAAGTTGATATACCATAAAACATATAAGACCAAACCACAAAGGGTTAGAGAATATGAAAAAAAAAAAAAAAACTCTATTAAGGATTGAGAACAGTAAAAGAACAAGAATATTTTTTTAATCATTTCACTCCAAGCAATGTGGGGTATGTTACTAGTTCACAGGGGGTTATAGGGAGTGAAAATGAAAGAAAAGACAGTATAGGAAGGATTGAGGAAAGTGATTCAAGAAGATGGGGATTGACATTGCATTTAAATTTTTGAAGATTGTAGGAAAGCAAATAAATGGAAGGGAGTTCCACAGGTAGGAAGTGCAAGAAAAGAAACTGTTGGAGTAGAAGTGGTGGTTGCATTTAGCTATTTCAACAGTAAACAGGTAGGACCTAGTTGCCAATCTAGTAACACACTTAAATTCATGTAGTCAGAGAAAAAAGCTCGTCAGAGCAGTTGCTATGAAAATATTTGTAGAAAAGACAGAGGGAAGCCACATCACATGTGAGAAAGTGACTGTACACGAGATGCCAGATCAGTACTTATCACATTGCATATCTGTCTCTGGAAGAAAGATTTAAAGCAAATAAATATGCAAGATAGATTTTGGTGAGAAAAATTGTCTAGCACAACACGGCGAACCAACTTTTCCCGCAGTAAACCTAGGAATTGATTTAGTTATATTGTATTTATTATATATTATTATTATCGTATACATTTTAAAAGCATGAACTTGACATTTTTAACCATTTTGCCACAAGCAAGGCAATAAAGCCACTAAGGCACAAGTGGTTACTGAAAGTGAGAGTTTGAGGAAAAAATTTTATTAAGAAGAGAGGACAATAAAAGGAGAGTCTTCAAGGAGACAGAAGATGACAACTGACATTTCATTTAACTTTTTCAAAATCAAAATTGACTGGAAGTGAGAAGTGCAAGAGAATCTATCCATTTCAACCGTAAAACAATGAGACCTATCTGCCAGTCTAGTACAGGGTTTACATTTGTAAAGTCAAGGTACCAAAAAGGAAAGTTCGTCAGAACAATTACCATGAAATATTTATAGAAAAGACACAGAGAAGCTATTTTACCACATTGGAAAAATGGTTGAAGCTGAGATGCCAGGTTACGACTGATAATATTGCAGATTCTTTGGATTTTGACTTCCTAGATATATAGCAGAAGTCATTGGGAAAGGCATAAATCCATCTCTTTTTCCCCCCTCAACTATGGGTTAAATATTAAGATAGACTAGGGAAGGTTACTGAATAGAATAATCAAACAAAAGTTGTTAATGAACGATAATACTTAGGACAAGAACAACGCATATAAGATTTGTCAGCAGCATTTAGAAGAAGTAGTCAACTGATAAAAGTGAGTCAAGTGAATTCTACAATGAATCTCCAATTGCAGACCAACATACAGTATTTACTACTGTATTTACGTGAATGGGGACTTACCCATTATTGTCTGTAGGTATGCTACAACAATAACCATGGTGGAACATTCAGTCTAGAAGACAACTTTGAATACAAAATTCATGTAAATATAGTATAAAGATATTTTAATACTAATATTCACTCAATACAAGGCCCAAGAGACTCTCCAGGTAGAGGGCTAATAAATGAGGTTGTTGTAAGCGGGGAAGTAAGAAGTGCATATGATGAGGATATGTAGGATAGACAAATATACCTGAAGTGGCTAAAATAAGGATCAGGGAAACATCTTTTTTGGGTATCTGTTACACAATGTAACAGTTCTTTGGAAGAAGCAGTCTGAGTGGGAATTCCTCCTCACCAATGGAATAAAAAGACAATGAAGAGTCAAACCTCTGTATATGGTGGTACCTGTGAAAGTCAGAACTGGCCAAACTAAAGAATGTAACTCTTCCAAATATTTGCCATGTAAATATCAATAGAGTAGCGAGAAGCTAGCAATGCGGAAGTGGGGTTGTAGGATAGGAATAATTCATCACCCACAAGGCCATGTACAATGCTTTTGAACTCTGTCAAGGCTGAAAAATTAATATTGGGTAGCTCCAGCCCAAATATATCAGCAATACTCCAGTTTAGGTACTTTCAAGGAACCTAACCATTTTTCCAGCATCTTTAACAACAGATTGTTAATACGACTTGGGACACTTCTGAGTATACAACCATTTATCAGAACTGGAGAAAATTTAAGGTTTACTCATTGTAGATGAAATACTACTAGCTTGCTTTTGTTAAAGAGAAGCTGTGGAGATCTGTAATCGTCCACATTCATAGTTTTTGGTAGGAATAGAATAAAACAGAATCAGCTTATATGAATCCATACTCTTCTTAAAACACCAATCTTGTCTTTGATTTCTATAGAAGCCGTTGGTTCCTGCAAACTGCTGAAGAACAAAACTTCCACACCAAGAATGTTGCATTCCGAGGTCTCCTGCAAATTCTCTTAGAGAAACGTAAGTATTTCTGGAGAATACTGCAATGAATAATCTTGCAACCTGATTCTTCTTCTGTGTACAGTGTCACTTCTTTTTGATATCTCTCCTAACCCCTGTTCTTCCAACCCTTAACCCAAGCTGGTTAGGTAGGTTATTCACTGCTGTCCTCTGTCGCTCTTGCTTTCAATGTCTTGTGAGTGTCAAATTTTCTAATCCCTCTTTCCTCATTATGCAGCCTACAAATTTTAACTGATTCTAAGCATAAATGTCCTTTTTGTTTCCATTTTCCCTAAAACTTTGTCGTTGCTCATATGTTCAGTCCATTGTATTCTCAGCATCCTTCTGTAGAGCCATGTTTCTGTTGACCTCAAATTTCTTCATCTGTGAAAAGATTGTCTAGTGTTCCCTGCCATACAGGAGGACCAATATTAGATAACACTTCATTTCTCTCTTTTTTGTTCCTAATGAAATCTTTCTGTTTCTTAATACTTATCTTGGCCTTTGGAAGACATCTATTGTGATCTCAATGTCTTCAGAGTTAAGTGTCATATTTTCTGTCCTCTGTTAAAACACGTCCTAGATCAATTATTCCCAACGTGGGGCACGGTAATATTTTGGTGGGGCATGCATAGGATGTGCACCCTTCAGCTTTATATACAAACAGAATAAGAGGGGGCAATTCGAGAATGAGTAATTAACAATGAATTGTTTTCTACTGGGTCTGAGTGAGAGTGTTAATGTTAATATGTGTTAATACATACAATACATATGCAGTATGCATACATAAAACTATTTTGTGTGTATGTACGTACATGTGTAATTTGCATACAGGGTATTTCCCATCTCCCCACACTAGTGTGTCTCAGTCAATAAAGGAGAGGGCGTGATTCTTGTCATTGGAATAGCCCATGTTTTGTCGGCCATTCAGTGCGTGTGAGCATTTAGTTTGCTTCCTTCATGTGAACTGCAGTAAAATTTTGAATATGTTAAGAATGAAATATTACAGGGTGGTCACCAGAATTTTAGAAATACCAAAGTGGGACATGGCCCAAAATCGGTTGTGAACCACTGGTTTATATAGATAAATAAAATTTGAATAAGTATTGGTGGACACGTGGACGAATTGTTTCAAAACAGAACCAGTAATTTACGACCCAACTCCCCCCCGTGTTGATATTTGGACAGTTATTTATTATATTTACTTCTTTTTCTGACTTTTTAAAAAACATTCTATTTTTTTTTTTTTCTAAATCTTTTTGTTCGATTCTCACAGCTGTCATTTCTCTTTCATGAGACCGAGGTTTTTAAGAAAGTGAAAATTACTTCGTCGGTAAACAATCAAATACACAAAAAAAATCGATTGTATTTCTCATTTTCTTTGCAGCCAAGCCATATTCGTCAAACCCACCCTGACCATAAAGATATATATATATATATATATATATATATATATATATATATATATATATTTACAGGGTGACTCCCTATTTTTGCATAATGGACCCTCCTGTTTAAGTATAATTTTTACAAGATGGGAGAGTCCATCATACAAAAATAGGGAGTTACTTTTCAATCATTCTGTACATAGTCATTTACTAAGCACATGGTTGAAATTAAGGAACACTCAGTGAGGATTGAACTCATTACTCAGTAAAATTTTGAATATGTAAGAAATTAATATTACAGTGTGGGCGCCAGAATTTTAGAAATACCAAAGTGGGGTTTGGGCTCCAAATCGGCTGGGAACCATTATCCTAGATATTTAAATTTTTATACTTGCTTGATTTTTGGTGCCTCCAATTCATAGTTTGCATTTTGGGTGGTTTCTCTTTCTGGCAACCATACAATTTGTCTTCAGTCAGTCGATGGTTAGTCCTTTCTTCCTACCTTCTGCAGGAGATTCTGTTAGTTTCTTTTCTGTGTCTGCTATCAATTCTAAGTGACATCTGCATTGAACACATACAGTGATATTTTATCTCTATTTACCAAAAGAATGTCAGTTATTTACACATGGACTATTTTCCTCATCTTTGTTGTTGTTATTACAATGTTTCAGCTATTGTACTATCCATTCTTCTTCAAATTAATTTTCAGGGAATTTTGAAGTAGACTCTTTATTTAATCTAGTTCATTCCACTGACCATATCTAGGGAATCTCATCTAGTTCTTATTTAGTATTGCTTGTCTCCTTTCTGCAGGATTAGACAGCGTGTCGGCACCACTTTTTAATTGCTGGTGTTCCCAGGTCCAGCGTAACCTGGGGTTGCAGCACCTGTTAGGGTCCCAGCTATGGGCAAATAGTTACCCCCCAAACTGGAGTCAAAACACTATGAAAGTGTAAAAATAGGTTTTAATACCAGAAATACTTTTTAAAAAATTATTACCAGCAATACAATTTTGAAAAAAAAAATGAAATTACCAGCAATACATTTTTGAAAAATAATTATCAGCAATATATTTTTGAGAAAAATTTTCCTAGCAATAAAAATCTTGTCAGCATTAAATAACTTATTGAGGTTGATTTGTCGTAAAACAAACCAAACGAAACCTAGTCAGCATGTAAATAATGGTAAATCCTTGTAGGGTTTTAGATAGAGCCCCTTGCCTAGTGAGCAAATAACTTTGTGATTTAGTGTCCTTGGCACAGTTAGGAACAACTGAGATCAATTAGTACCATTGGCAATTAGAGAATTAGCCTGGTCCTGAGAAGAAGTTGGAGCAAAAATGTACTGCAACCAATGTCTACACTGACACCAATAGGCAACAAATATATTTTTAGATGGTAGCTGACGACCTCACCACACCTTAACATAAAGGTAGTAATCTTTTAGAGTGCAAACCTTGCCTATTGTAAGTACAATGTTTATGTTATATTTTATTGTTCTTTTACATTGTTATAGTTAATAAAAATGGTAAATATATTTTGGCACCATTCTTTTCATTTCCATTTATTACTTCATATTTATTTTTGTTTGGGAGATCCTTGAGGTAGGGAGCTGTTATAAAATAACAATCCAACATCCTCATCCCAGAAATTGTCAGAAAGAGTTGTAATATAAATTGAAAAAAGGATAGTCTGGAATCAGAAACTTTTGGGGATTTGGGAATTTTTCAGATTTCAAGATACATATGACATATGTAGATTAAGAAAGTCAATTGTTTGGAAACCTTGCAAATATTCATACCATATAGCAGTAAATTCTAGTTTATTATTTGTCCAATGGTAAATAAAATGATAATGTGTGGGTCATGTAACAGTAAGTGAATTGGAGTGAGAAATCAGCTTGCCAGTTTTGAATTATAGCTGAGTTATGTTTGCTTTTGCCTAGATATCCTTGTGAGCAATATGAAGCCATCACTTCTCCCTCCAGCTATGGGTTAAATAGCAGAACTGACTGGGCTGTCTTGCCTTGAGGTGGCAACTAGTCTAAAAGATAGAAAACTCTGAATTCAAATTCAGCCTGAAAAGAGATGGGTTCCATCAACCGACCTTGCCATAGACTCTGATGGGTTGATTGATTTTTTTTTATGGCTTATCAATCTTTTGCAGGTTATTTAAAGCAATAAAGTATTTTCAGATTGTAATATTTTGGAGATGATAACAATTTACTGATACTAGCCCTACTAATTAACCCATAGCTAGTGGGGAGAAGAGGTGGATTCATACCTTTCTCTGGTGTGTTAAAGGACTAATACTGGGAAATGAGATATTATAGAGATAGTCTATAAGATTATATGTAGGTATGTTATTATTACAGAAGTTCCATAAATGGATGTTCAATTTTTGAAGGTTTTTTTTTTTTTTCAGAAATCTTAGACGATATTTCCTAGCTGGATATTAAATAATTGTGAGCTGTCTGAAACCTAGTGTTTAGGTCATCTTTTTGATAAATATTGTTTCTATATTTTGAATAGACGGTATCAAACCTGCAAAACATGGATGTCGTGTGACGAGGAAAGCAGATTTTGCAACTGCGGATTCTTACATCAATGCAGTTTTGTCCAAGCTACAAATCACATCAGGCAAGTGTTTCTTCCTTTTTTTTTTTGTTCTTAAGAGCTGTAACTGCCTACATGTATTTATTAGGCTATTTCAAAAGATTTATATGATCAATGTTAGAGAAATCTTAGAAGTATCTTTAAAGATAACTCATTTTCTAATTGCTTGTGCAAGCAATCAAATCTATTACATTGTATACAAGCCTTCAGACTAATTAAGATATTAAGGAAATGGGTTCATTAAGAAGTAAAATAATTGGTTCCATGAGAGGTAAGAGAATTGCTTTCGGAGGAACTAAGATAATTGGTTCCAGAGATACTAAGAGAATTGGTTACTTAGAAACTAAGTGAATGGGAACTAAAAAAAAAGAATTGTTACTTAGGATCTAAGAAAATTGGTTCCACAGGATCTAAGAGAATTGGTTCCAGAGGAACTAAGAAAATTGGTTACTAAGGATCTAAGAGAATTGGTTCATTGGGAACTAAAAAAATAGATAGTTCCACAGGAACAGGAGAATTGATTACTTAGGAACCAAGAAAATTGGTTGCTGAGGAACTAAGAGAATTGGTTCATTGGGAACTAAGAAAATTGGTTACTTAGGAATTAAGAAAATTGGTTACTTAGGAATCAAGAAAATTGGTTACTTAGGAATTAAGAAAATTGGTTACTTAGGAATTAAGAGAATTGCTCATTTAGGAAATCAGAGAATTTGTTACTTAAGAACTAAGAGAATTGGTTACTTAGGAACTAAGAAAATTGGTTCCACAGGAACTAAGAGAATTAGTTCTTTGGAAATGAAAAAAATTGATTCCACATGAACTTATAGAATGAAATATCAGGTTTCTCATTTGCATTTGATTCAGTTGCCCATGGAATCTTCTATTTCTGCATCATGTGAAGCATTTTGGCATTTACAATAAGAGGTACTTAAATTATTTGGGCACATAATGGGGAATAGGCACTTGGAGAATTTGACAATCACTTGACATATTAAAAGCAAGAGGGAAACAGAGCAAGTAACCTATCTAGTGAACTTGTTTAAACTGATGGCAGAACTGGAACCACATGGAATAGTAAAAAAAAAAACAAAGCTTACTAAGAACTGCAAAGGACAGGAAATTGTGGAGAGCCATGATCACCAATGTTGTGAAGGGACATGACACCTAGAAAATAATTTCTCTCAGAATTTCAGGAACAACCAGAAGTCTGATCAGGGTTATATGTTTTCCTGGGGACAATAAAATATTAATATGAGATGACTAATTAAATTTGTTTTTTATTTTTATTTTTATTTTTTTTTTGGAGTGAGGTGGGACGACCTAGAAAATTCATTTTTAGATAAGGGTTACTCATGATGAATAAAAACAAAGAAAATTAACTGGATCATAGTGGAAAAGGTTCTTTTCTGTGTTTGGTGGAATTCAAAGAGAATTCTTTCCTTCAAATTGCTGAAACTTCAGCAAACTATTAACATAATTGTTCACGTATAATTCACTATGCAAGTCATTTGGGCTATGAAATTCATAATTGCTAGCAGCTTTTTCTCACCAGCAGCATGAAACAGAAATTTATTTCAAAAATAGGAATGCTGCCTGACAACTCCATGGCCAGTGTTGGGTGTTGTCAGTGCTTTATTTTAATTTACAGTTTAGTGCCAGAGTCGCATCGCATAGAAATATTAGATTTTTAAAACCATTCCTTAGTTCTGCCAGTCCAGTACTCACCATGCTATATACACTGAGTCAAATCATCCTCATTCTTTTCATATTCCATTGGTAAGGAGGAAGTTCCATTCAGACAGCTTCTTCCCCAGAACTGTTATATTGTGGAGCAGACTCCTGGGGATCTGCTTCCCTGATCACCATGATCTTAAACTCTTCAAGTCTCGGGTCAACTGTTATCTATCTTACATATCTTCATAATATGCACTTCTAACCATCTCACTTTAAATCCTTACAACAACATCATTCAGTAATCATCTACCTTGAGTGGTTCTCAAGCCTTGTGTTGGGTGAGCAATAAAATAAGAAACTAAACAAAATTGCTTTTTTACCAGCTTTTTGTTTTTTACTTTCCCTTTCATTTGAACTTTTTGTTTTTTTTTTCATTTCTCAGATACGCAGGTGCAAAAACTCCGAACTGAATTTCTTTCATTATGTGAACAAAACAGAAAATATTTTGGCTTTATTGAACCAATTACGGTAAGTTGTCTGTCTTCTCAAAAAAAAAAAAACATTCACATATAAATATACCGTATCTACTTGTGTATAAGCTAACTTCATATATAGTGAGGTCCCTGAATTTTTTTCCATGAATTTTTACTCCCCCAGTAAAGATTTACTTGTCTATAGTGCAACCAGTGACTGAAAATGATTGATTTGTAACCTCTTCAAAACAAATACTTGTCTATAGTGCAACCAGGGACTGAAAATGATTGATTTGTAACCTCTTCAAAACAAATACTTGTATATAGTGTGACCGTCTATCTTTTTTGCATAAAAAAATTATTATAAAATCTCAAACTTTACTTGTGGAGGACTGGGGGGGGTGTTAATGTGAGTTTGGTAGAATGTTAAAAGGTCCAACTACAAAAAAATGGCTGAACTTGAATTAAGTCCAACTGAAGATAAAGAAGACAATTAAGACCGATATATATATATATATATATATATATATATATATATATATATATATATATATATATATATAAACAAATATATGTATTAACAACAAATTACAAAGCACACAGACAATAATACTTGTGTGTGTGTGAACATTTGTGTTTGTTCTTTGGTGAATGTTCATATTTTTGTGAATGTTTGTACGTACGTGTATGTGTGTATAATGTTCATGGCATCTTCCCAGAAGTGGGAAACGCTGTCTCTTATGAGAGCTCACATTGTAGTGATGTTCACTGAAATGAAAAAGAGGATTTACCTCACCTCAACGTGAGGTGGGATGCAGCACGAGGCCTGAAGGAAAGAGAACGAGGCAAGAGGTTGCCCTAGTGGCAATTTGGGAATTAAGGAGGAGGTAACTTCAACATACTCACTGCTGCTGCTACCACCGCCATGATAACAGAGTTGTGGACCGGTCACCACACAAAGCACCACTACCATCAACATCGCTGACTTCACTGCCACTACTCAGCATGACCCCACATCTCAATGACTGTTACCACTTCCTGGCTTGAACTATCACCTTGGTTATCCAGTTTTGACTCAAAACATCTCATCCTTATGGCCAAATTGTTATAACTGCTGATATAATGAAATAATCAAGTTGAAAATCAGATACTGTTATTGTTTAAAACTTTATTTTTGGTAATTCTGACATGTAACCAGTGGATGAGAGAGAATTGAACAGAGTCATGATTTGCACTTGTGTTTATGTGTCCGCCATTGCTGTAGTCCTCTCCAGGCCCAAAATTCCCCTGTCAGCTCTGTACGGTTATCTCCCTTAGTTGACCCTGCCATAGCAAGTTCTCAAGAAAATTTGCTACTAATATATATATATATATATATATATATATATAAAGACTATAAATATATTGCTGTAGCCATTACTATCAGGGTATATTTTTTTTTTTTTTTTTTTTTTTTTTAAGCATTTCACCCCAAGCAAGGCGAGAAACCACTAGGACGCAAGGGGTTACAGAAAATAGGAAGATCAGATAGGAGTGATAGAAGAAAGGATGAGGGTAGTAGATAGATTAAGGCAACTGGAGATGTCGATTGACATTACACTTGAATAGCTGGAGATTATAACTCTCAGGGAAACAGGAGAAGGGAAGAGAGTTCCACAGGCGAGAGGTGCGAGACATGAAGCTATTAGAGTAGTAGAGACGGCTACATTTATGAGTTTCGACAGTGAAGGGGTGAGAGCGGGATGCCAGCCTCGTAGGGCGCTTTGAACTCATGAAGTTTGGGAACCAGCGAATGCAGTTCCTCGGAGCAATTTCCATGAAAGTATTTGTAGAACAGACAGAGGGAGGCGACGGTGCGTCTGTGAGAAAGTGACTGTAGACGAGACGCCAGGGTAGGGCCAACCATATTACATATCCGCCTCTGGAGCCTATCAAGAACCCCGAGGCAGACAGAAGGGGCGCCAGACCATATATGGCAGCAATACTCCATGCAAGGGCGAATTGTGGATTTGTATATCTGGAGGATCGACTCAGGGAGAAAAACTTCCTAGCACGGCTCAGGGAGCCAACTTTCCTCGCAGTGGACGAGGCAATTGACTCGATGTATATATTCCATCTCAGGTCAGCAGTCAACGTGAGACCGAGAAGCCGCAGAGAGTTGCTCTCGGGAAGTTGAGCGTCAGACATTATAATGGAGGGAAGGAAGGCTCTCTGTGGTGATTAATAGAGAGCAGTTTAGTCTTCGAAGCGTTGAAGTTGACCAGCCAAATCTTGCCCCAGTTCACAATCGATTGGAGGTCCTTTTTTTAGGCGCACGGGCAAGGTGAGTTTTGTCAGCGAGACTGGATTTGTTTTTGAGGCAGGAATAAATTGTGGTGTCATCCGCGTAGATGCCGACTTGAGAATTACGGCGTCAGGAAGGTCATTTATATAGATAAGGAATAGAGGGGGCCTAGGATGGAGCCTTGAGGAACTCCTGCGTTCGTGGGGTAGGAACTGGAGGAGAATCCGTTGAACGACCTTCAATTCACGGTTTGACAGGAATGATTGTATTACGTTATATAATTGACCCGTAATGCCATAACCCTGGATCTTATGGAGAAGGCGGCGTGCCAAACCCTATCAAATGCTTTGGAGATATCTAGTGCTACGGCTCGGGCTTCCCCCCGTTATTTTGGAGAGTTCGGTAGACTGTTTCCGTGATGGCTGTGAGCACATCGGCTGTAGATCTGGCAAAGCGGAAACCATATTGCTTGTCTGAGAGCAGATTATTGGATGTGAGGTGGTTAACCACCCCGGTATTGATTAGAGCGAAAAATGTGTGGAAACATTTATGGATTCTCATCAGACACATATAGTTTACCTTTTACTTACCAATTTAGTTAAAGTTTGGAATTTGATTATGTTTTTTTTTATATTTTTAGTTGTACCATATATAGCTTATCTTTCTATCTGCAAGATTAATTTCGTTTGGTTTGTTTTTGTTTTTTTTTGTTTTATGGTATATCAATCACAATGGGTTATTTAATGCCAACAAAATTTCCTTTTTTTTTTTAAAAAAAATGTCTCGCTGGTAATATTTTTTTTTTAAATATATAGTTTGATTTGTTTTGTTTTGTGACATATTAACCTCAATGGGTTACTTAATGCTGACAAAATTTCCTTTTTTTTTCAAAAATATATAGCTGGTAATTTTTTCAGAAATATATTGCTGGTAATATTTTTTTTTAAAAATGTATAGTTTGATTTGTTTTGTTTTGTGGCATATTGAACTCAATGGGTTATTTAATGCTGACAAGATTTTTATTTCTGGTAATATTTTCTTGTTTCAAATATTTATTGCTGATATTAATTTTTTTTTTAAAGTATTTCTGGTATTAAAATCTATTTTTACACTTTGATAGTGTTTTGAGTCAGGTTGTGGGGTCAACTATTTGCCCATAGCTGGAACCCTAACAGTTGCTACCACCCCAGGTCAGGGTGGACCTGGGAACACCAACAATTAAAAGGTGGTTACACGCTCCTCAAAACCTCCTGATCAGAGGCCTTGATGCTGGATGTAGTTTATCATCATACCCAGGATGGGCAAGATTAATTTGGATTTAATATAATTTTGTATTCATCTCCTGGTACTATTAGTAACATCTTGTTTGGATGTATTGGTATTTGGTTGGTATTTTCGACATTTTACATTATTTGGTTAGTGTTATTAACATCTTATATGAAGAAGCTTTATTCAACAATTGCATATTAATTTACCAAATAATTTTATATGTTTGAATTATTTACTAGTTTCTTAAAGGAGCCATTTATTTATCAACTACAACATTTTTTTATGTAGGAAATTCACAAAGCATATAACTTGTCTAGCATTTAATTAAATTACATCTCTACATCACCCATGACTGGAGCAAATCTCTGTCAGTTTGATTCTGTATGTGTGTCTTGGCTTGGTGGGTTCTCATTTATATTGATGACTCCCCTTCCTTGCCAAATATGACATTGATATATCTAACTTCTCCACCTTGACTGTCTTAATCTTAGGAGGTCTGTTAATAAACACATGGCCTTCACTTTTGTCTTTAGAATTTTTTGTTCTCTCTCTTTTTAAAGATAATGGTGTAATTGGACAGATAGTATAATGTAAACAGACCCTCAAATTTAATTTTTTCAAGACCAAAGAATTTCGGACAACACTTTAATCATATCGGTAGGAACTGTATAGAGTAGGGAATCTTGGTTTTGCTCTATTTTATTGAATCTTGTTTAGTTAATTCTGGGCTTGATTTTGCTTCAAACTGTTCTTAAATTCATTTTATTATTTTAAAACAATTTTTAACCTTTTCTTTTTTCATTTTTTCTCAGCCATTTAACCTATTCTTCTGAGAATTTTAATAATCATTATCCAATTAATAGTCTCCCCAAATCATTTTCCTGCAATTTCATCCGATTAAAAGTTTAAACAGGGCAGTGTTCTGTTACAGACTGAAAAATGAAGTATTGCTGCTGGACTGAGGATGCTCAGTCTTCACTCTCCAGCTTTGATAGAGTTCTGAATTGTTTATACAGTTTTGTTGGGGAAGATTTATTTTCGACTCTGCAACCTCTCTCCCACAGATGAAAAATTCCAAGCCTATCACTACTCTATCACTGTAATACAGGATACATTTATAAAGAAATTGTTTAGTTTGATGAAAATTGGTTGAAAGATCAATGAAAAATAAGAAAGAAACCAGTAAAAATCGCCATTTTTCACTATTTATGCAGGTTTTTACCATATGAGTGGACTCAATTATCAAGTTAAATGACTGTTAAATGATCAACTTGTTGTTGGTTAGAGTTGGGTGAAGTTTGTATTAGATTGCTTGAAAATTGAGGGAGTTTTTAGTTTAAAACTTGTGTCGAAATCAATTTTTTTTTTTTGCTAAATGCAGTGGCGTAAAAATAAAAAAGAGGTATCATTGAGCACATCATGATGAAAATAACCTACATACTGTGTTTGAACAAAATCGGAGGAAAAAAGTTGTATTTATTGATTTTTGATCGGCTTTATTGATTTTTTTAAAAATTATTGATTTTATGCTATGAACCTATCTCTTACATTGTACAATGTGCCAAGTTTGATCAAAATTGGTTGGATGGATCTCAAATGAAAGGGTATCACACAATCAGACACACAGACATCTATTTTTTATATATATAGATTGCCAACAATACATCTTATAGCAAAATGACCAACAATACATTTTACCTGTAGCTAAAGTTATGCAATTGCATACAAAATATACTTAGTTGAAGCGATAAAATTGTGTTCAATATATGTAGATTATCAGCATTAAATAAACCATGAAGGTTGATATGCTGCTAAACAAAATCAACCAGCTTTACCTTGAGTGACTCTTGAGCCTTGTATTTCTGAATAGATTAGTTTGTGTTTCCTGCAGGCTAAGGCCTTGTATCTACTTAAAAGAAATATTGTTAGAAATATTGTTAGAATCTACTTACATAACAGTTTTTCCCATTTCTCATTTTATGAGTCTTTTATCTTTATTTTTCTTTCTTTCTCATTATTCAGTCACTGCAAGTTCTTCTCCAGCCAGTTTTAGAGTCCCTTATTCACCTGGACCGGCTAGCATTTCTTCAAGAACAAGGCACCAAAGCCGATCTGGTGCCAATATTTGAAGAAAACATCTCACCTCGGAATTTTGTATTGGTCGCACAGAAATGAACTCTACCTTTTATCTTCTAAAGAACTTTACAACGAGACCTTCTGTAAGGGTCGGCCAGTCTTGCAAAAAGTCCCAGACTCAATATTATGAGTTTCTGTTTAAATTTCTGTGATGAGGAGTTACCAATTCCACAGAGTCCAAATACACACCGCCCAGCCTAAGGATTGAACTCATGAACCAACACTTTAATACACCAGACTATCATCCCATTTAATTATGTGTTCAATTCCTGGGTTGAGCAAGATTTGGATTCATTGCATACATGGCAAACAATAACTGAGCATTACTAAAAATAAGAAGTAGACGAGATGTCCCTAGACATGGGCAGTGGAATGAGAAGATTGCATAAACGGTTCAGTTCGGAAGTCTCTGTAGATTACCCAGATCAACATACACCTGATTAAGGCACATAAGAAACATTGTGATAAGAACAACAAAGATGAGGACAATAGTCTGCATGTAAATAATGTAAATTAATGTCATAAGATTCTAAAAAAGGTCCTTCATCTGCAATGAACTTGTTTCATGATTACATAAAGAATATGTTTTCCCAGCCAATTAAATTCCAGAGAGCATTTTCTGGGTCATTTTCACCAAAATTCAGAAAAATATGGATGCAGTAAAAAAAAAAAAAGAATGTTTTGATACTGATGCAAGTATACTATATATATATATATATATATATATATATATATATATATATATATTTGGTTGGATAGATGTGAGTTTGTGACCCTGGGTTTCACGCTTTTGCGATCGTCAGACAAACGATGATCGCAAAAGCCAGGGTCACAAACTCACATCTTAGCTCTATCTCTGATATTGAGCGCTTTCTAATAAGTACCGCACATATAATATATAAATAATTATATATATATATATATATATATATATATGCAAGTAAAATGTGTGGAACTAAGATGATGAAAGATGTCAGAAAACCCACACAGTGAATTTTGTTATAGTGGTGAAGGCATGTGCAAGACCATCAACGGTTTTTGGAACTACTGATAACATCCAATAAATGCAAAATATTGCCAGCAAACAACAAACCTCAGATTTTATTAGTCTTGGAACAACCACATGTGCACACAAGCATACACACACATGTGCACACACACACACACACACATATATATTTGACCTACGATACTCACTGAAAAACATCCCAAGCTTCATATAAACTCCAACTAACAGAGAAAATCGAAAGTCTCATAAGACGAATGAGATGCAAGGCATATTTCTTCCTCAATGACCCAAAAAATGAAATAACTGAAAAAGCCAAGACATTCAGCTTTAATACAAGGAAATTCCCACCAATATGCAAGGAAATGCTAAAATTCGATGAAGACATGACAAATATAATCAGAACCTTGAAGTTCAAAAAACACTTGAACAGTTTCCAGAAGAAAATCATAGAAGACAAGTGTTATGAACGGCGTGTTTGTGGTCTCATAACTATTAAATGAAATGCCTTGCATGCAGTTTTAATTCACAGTCCGTGGATGACTATATGTGTGTGTGTGGCACATGGAGGAATGTGTGATGCGATAGGAAGAAAGTAATTGCTACTCACGGTTGGCTTGAAATAACCATTTATTTACACGGAGAACCTTACAACATATATATATATATATATATATGTGTATATACAAAATCACCGTCCCAAATTACTGAGTTGTGTGTCACAACCATTAGGACAGGAGAATATATATATATTCTTATTCCTTGATAGCCATGTTCCAAGTCTGTTGAGTTTTGCGTGTCTTGCATCTCAATGTCGCGTTGATCACATGACTAGCGTGGTTTGGACAGGGGCAAAAGGGAGGTACTCTGTTTGAAACAGGAAAGAGTTATTTCCCTTGGAATATATTTTTATTTGTCCTAACAACAAGAAAAAAATAATCAACTCCAATAAGGTATTCATATTGGCTGACAAAACCACGAAAATATACACTATGTAACCCACAGCCTACAATAAACTCTTAACCAACAAAATTACACAACTATACAAGAAGACAACCACGAATACAATAAACATTATAAACCAAGAAGCCAAAAATATAGCCGCCAAATTGAAGATAGATGGAAGAATAAACAAATTAGCTGAACAACATGCTTTCATGACGGCAAAGGACCACAAAACCAGCTTTGTAGAAAAACCTACATTCAGACTAATTAACCTGGCGAAGAGTGAGATAGGAAGAACATACTGGAAAATATCAACACCAGCCTAAGGGAAAAATTAGGTCTCAACCAGTGGAAGAACACCAAAGCTGTCATAGAGTGGTTTAAAACGATAGAAAACATAAACAAATCTACTTTCATCGAATTCGACATAGTGGATTTCTATCCTTCCATCACAGAAAACATATTAAATGAAGCTATACAACTGGCACAACAACATGTAAAAATCATGGACGGAGATATAAAAATAATCAAACATTGCTGCAAATCTCTGCTTTTCCACAATAGTGAACCATGGGCAAAGAAACAAATCCACGAGCTGTTTGATGTAACAATGGGTAGCCACGATGGAGCAGAATTATGCGAATTAGTAGGCATACTCATCCTCTCATACCTGGCCAGAATCCCAGAGAGAAAGGACACAGGATTATACAGAGATGACGATCTTATCTTAAGAACCCAATGGCCCCAAATTAGACAAATTTAGGAAGAAAATAGTGAACACCATAAAAAACATTGGATTCAAAATAGAGATAAATGCAGTCACAGCAACAGTAAACTTCCTTGACATCACTCTTAACCTGAAAAATAATACATACAAGCCATACAAAAAAGACAATGACACCCCAACTTATGTACGCACATCCTCCAACCACCCACCTTCAATCATCAAGCAAATACCCATATCAATCAGCTGCAGACTATCTGAGAACTCATCTAACATATACATTTTCAATAACAAAAAAGCACCATACAATGAAGCACTAAAAGCAAGTGGATACACACAACTACAATATACACCTCCACAGCTAAAACGCAAAAACAGAAAAAGAAATATGATCTGGTTTAATCCACCATACAACAAAAGCATCAAAACGAACATAGGCAAGACATTCCTAAACTTAATAGAAAAGCACTTCACTGAAACAAACCAATTAGCAAAAATATTCAACAAAAATAATATTAAAATCAGTTACACCTGGACAAAAAGTATAACAGAAATAATCAAAAGCCACAGCAAAAAAATGACAACCTACAAAAATGAAACCAAAATGTAACTGCAGAAACAGAACAACATATCCACTCCAGGGAAATTGCCAACATACGAATACAATATATAAAGCCAAGGTAAGTGCAAACAACAGCACAATATACTACATCGTTGCCACTGAGGGTCCATTCAAGAAGAGGAAAAACAACCACAACTTTTCATTCACCAACAGAAAATACTCGAACAGCACTGCACTATCCACATACATATGGCAGCAAAAAGACAGAAATATCACACCAACAATAAGCTGGAAAATATCTACAGCAACATTACAAAAAAATGCCTACTTTGCCTACACAAAAAAGTAGCTATAATATCTCACACTCCGCAAAAGAATTTACTAAAAAAAAATCAGAGATAATCTCCAAATGTAGGCATGAGAACAAGTACCTATTATCCAAATTTATACCAAACAGATAAAAAAAAACCACCAGCAATCACTCTTTAGTTCAAGATACCATCACAATAATTACATTTATTGTTATTATCATTGCACCACCATTAGTAATCACTTTTACCACTTTACAATAACTATTAACGACTAATATTATCATTACCACGTACACCCAACACCATTACTACCACATCACATCTACTATTAATATATAAATCCACTATAATTATTAACATAAATTACTCCTCCCAGCATATTTAATACCACCAAATAAAACCAATAAGATCAGAGATAATTTCCAAATGTAGGCATGAGAATAAATACCTATTATCAGGATTTATACCAAAATAAATAAATAAATGAAATAAAATAAAACACCAACAATCACTTTTTAGTTCCAGCTACCACCATAATAATTAAATTTTTGTTATTATCATTCCCCCACCACCATTAATAACCACTTCTACCAATTTACAATAACTATGAGCTACTTATATTATCATTGCCACCAATCCCCCTACAACATTATTAGCACATCTACTATTATCATATAAACCCGCTATAATTATTAACGTAAACTACCCCCCTTCCCCAGCATATTTAATATCACCATAAAAATAACCAATAAGGATTACAAACTGCAATTTTTAACAGTCATCAAAAACAAGCAAATAACCAGCTTTAAAATAATAACAAATAAACTTTAAAAAATTAAAAATAATAGCAATTTTTGCGTATCATAATTTTACACAGACCGCACCACACGTATATACGTGCATGTGAGGAAATATTATTCAGCGAAAGAATAGAAAAATGCTCTGATTGCTGACATGTATACATTCACGAGACATTCACGCTACACTTCCGATCTCTGAATTTCAACATACAAATGCGTATGTATATAAACAACAGCACACATATACATACATATGTCAAGTCCCATACTGTCCACATATGTTTATGTCTGTATGAGCCCCGGCAGACAAGCAAATGTGTATGTGTCTGCATATCTCAACGGGTGTACAGACATGCATCTATGTTTGCGTTAACATGAGTTACATCACTACGATGATTCCAACACTACTTCCATAATTACACCAATACACGCAATCTACATAAACCCAAAATTTTAAAAAATTAATCCGTTTGTTTGACAATCGCAAAAGCGTTAAACCCAGGGTCACAAACTCACATCAATCCAACCAAATATATATATATATATATATATATATATATAAAATGATATATAAATTATTATGGAAAAAGTTTAAAATTTCAGTGTCCCCTCTCCTTCATGCACATGTATGATCACATCAATGTAAGCATCACTTTAGTGTTTGATAATGTCCTAAAGAATAAAATGCATCACACAAAAGCTTTCCCCACTTTGTTTTTAATGTTCCTAATATATATATATATATATATATATATATATATACATATATATATATATACATATATATAAAAATATTTTTAAGACATTTTTTGTTTATACATTCTTTTTATAGATACAAATATTTAAGTAAATGCTCTCTTTATAATAAACAGTATTAACAACATTTACCGGCCTGAATATACGAGAAATTTTCATAGAAAATATGCATCCCCTGAGAGGAATCAAACCTGTATCCTATACAGAACCATCATATAGCCTGACATGCCTTTATCGATTGGGCCAAAGAGGAATGTTCGGTTAGCAAGGCCGATTTTACTGTTTTTAAACACAATCTTCTATGATTTTCTCTCATACATTCATACCTGCTCAATGCATATCCAAATGTAAACAAATGACGTTACGCATGAAATGGACAAAGTCTGACAATTATTTTTTTACGACATTTTTTTATGTTTATACGTTCTTTTTGTAATTTAAAAGAAAAAGCATTAAGATTTAATGTAAAAGAAAAACATTAAAATGAAAAAGCATTAATTTAAAACAAAATTACTTGTATTATTTACATTATTCGAACTGTTATCCTCATCTTTATTGCCATATTCATATATTGGAATTTCAAACCAAACCCCTTATTTCATCCACCAGGGTGGATTGTGGATAAAGATGTTGGTTAGATCCAGTAAGTAGACCCAAAGAGTTGTGTGTTCACTAACAGGCCATAGCCTTGGTGAACCAAAAACTTGAAAAGTTGAGTGAAAGGGAAATAACTGAGACACCCAGAAGAGGCATGGCATGTGGAACTAGAACAATTTACCCCGGTGGACAAAATAAAAAGTTTCAGTTTGAAATTCCAATCACCTGAAAAAGTTCGGAGCGTACAACAACTGAAATGTTGTGAATATGGCAATGAAGATGAGGATAACAATCTGAATAATGTAAATAATGCAAGTAATCATAATACCTCATCTCAGAGATATAGACAGATATTAAAAGAAAATGCATTAAAAAGTAAAAGCATTAAAATTTTAAGTGACTTTGGCCAGCGTTTTACTGTGACAGCATTTACAAGTCGAGAGTGTGTGTTCTTTGTCTATATTCACATATGGCAATAATCATTTTAAAGGGAGATCTGACAACCATTACATTTGGATACTGCTTCAGGCTTTCCACGATATTCCAGTTTCAAAAAACTCCCAGCTTCTGACTGCTACACTTGATTTGCTAGCTTCCACTTTCTTGTACTCTGAGCTTTTATCACAATTGGTGCTTTGAATCTTAACTTTCTTGGTGACTGCAATGAACAACAGAACTCTTATTCTCTCTCTATCAATGATGTAGATGCTCACCCTCTCTCTCTAAATTATGTAGATGCTCACCCTCTCTCTATCAACAATGTAGATACTCGCCCTCCCTCTATCAATGATGTAGACACTCGCCCTCCCTCTATCAATGATGTAGACACTCGCCCTCCCTCTATCAATGATGTAGACACTCGCCCTCCCTCTATCAATGATGTAGACACTCGCCCTCCCTCTATCAATGATGTAGACACTCGCCCTCTCTCTATAAATAATGTAGACGCTCACACTCTCTCTATAAATGATGTAGTCGCTCACTCTCTCTCCATAATTGATCTAGACGCTAACCCTCTATCAATGATTTAGACACTCACCCTCTCTCTATAAATAATGTAGACACTCGCCCTCTCTCTATAAATGATGTAGACACTCGCCCTCTCTCTATAAATGATGTAGACACTTGCCCTCTCTTTATCAATAATGTAGAGGCTCGGCCTCTCTTTATCAATGATGTAGACACTCACCCTCTCTCTATAAATGATGTAGTCGCTCTCTCTCTCTCCATAAATGATGTAGACACTTGCCCTCTCTTTATCAATAATGTAGATGCTCACCCTCTCTCTATAAATGATGTAGACACTCACTCTCTCTCTATAAATGATGTAGTCACTCACCCTCTCTCTATAAATGATGTAGACGCTCGCACTCTCTCTATAAATGATGTAGACACTCGCACTCTCTATAAATGATGTAGACACTCAAGAGCCCTGCTATACTCAGTTGCTGTTGCTTGCAAGCACTCCTTTGTATGGAGAATCGAGCATCACCTTTGACCTCCCAAGTATTCTAGAGATACACAATTTCTATTATTAGTTTGAAATTTCACTTCCTTTTCCCAGACCCGACTACCTGTCAGCACCCATCGAGTTATCAAAACGTTGATTGATTTTTTTTATGGGTTATCAATCTATCAATCAATATGAGCAAAGGAGGTGAAAATCAATAACACAATTTATTTTTCATAGATTCTATTCTCTCTTCTTCATATTTCCCAACCAATATGTCTATATCTCTGAGATGAGGTATTATGATTACTTGCATTATTTACATTATTCAGTCTATTATCCTCATCTTCATTGCTATATTCACAATGTTTTGGCCTTTAGATCTTTGAGATGAGGTATTATGATTACTTGCATCATTTACATTATTCGGAGTGTTATCCTCATCTTCATTGCTATATACACAACGTTTCGGCCTCTATTCCTTAAAGATGAGATATTATGATTACTTCCATTATTTACATTATTCCGGCTATTATCCTCATCTTCATTGTCATATTCACAACGTTTCGGCCTTTAGATCTCTGAGATGAGGTATTATGATTACTTGCATCATTTACATTATTCGGAGTGTTATCTTCATCTTCATTGCTATATACACAACATCTCGGCCTCTAGATCTCTGAGATGAGGTATTATGATTACTTGCATTATTTATGTTATTCTGACTATTATCCTCATCTTCATTGCCACATTCACAACGTTTCAGCCTCTATATCTCTGAGATGAGGTATTATGATTACTTGCATTATTTACAATATTCCGACTATTATCCTCATCTTCATTGCCATATTCACAACATTTCGGCCGTTGTATGCTGCAACTTTCTTCAGGTGATTGGAATTTCGAACCGAACCCTTTTATTTCATCCACCAGGGTAGATCAAGGGCTCAGTGGATAAAGACCTTGGTTAGATCCAGTGACTAGACCAAAAGAGTTGTGAGTTCAATACCAGGCTACTGCAGTGGTGAACCAAAACTTGGAGAGTTGAGTTAAAGAGAAATAACTGAGACACCCAGAAGAGGCATGGCACGTGGAACTAGAACAATCTACCCTGGTAAACGAAATAAAAGATTTCGGTTTGAAATTCCAATCGCTTGAAGAAGGCTGGAATGTACAACAGCCAAAAGGTTGTGAATATGGCAATGAAAATGAGGTTAACAGTCTGAATAATGTAAATAATGCAAGGTCCCAACCAATGTTGTATCAGCATGTCCCAATTTCATAACTATTGAATATATATTACATATCATTAATTATATATTATTTACTTTAGCACACAAAATGAGGTGTGATAGGGACTTAGTATATTCCTTGCTAAGTAGTAGCAATTAAATATATTTTCTGTTTCACAGTTAAGTTTTGGCTGACACATTCCATCCCGATAAATGTTTGACTTTTGGTGTCGCTCAATCATTAGTTTCCCAGCCAAGTTTTGGCTTGACACATTCCATCTCAATAAATGTTTGACTCTTGGTGTCGCTCAATCGTTAGTTTCACAGCCAAGTTTTGGCTGACACATTCCATCCCAATAAATGTTGGACACTCTGGGTCATCCAGAAGTACACTTCTAGCAATGGAAACTCATAGTCCCACTTTCAAGCCATTCTGATTCCCTTTCTATTCTTCAGTTTATGATTCTTATTAATATTTTTGGACCATTCTTTCTTTTATTTTATTCTTCAATTTTAATTAGTTTTCTTCTACAAAGATGTTTTTGTGTGAATTTTTAGGATGAGGAGTTATTATTTTTTACACTATTTATATTCGGACTATTGTTCTTCTCTTTGTTGTTATTTTCACAATATTTTGGCTGTAGGGTCCCCCCCACCCCGAGTCTTACTCAGGTGGAGACGGGTCAGCACTGAACAATACTAAATTAAGAACTAGATGATACATCCCTATACATGATCAATGGAACAAGAACATTCTATCCCTGTAGATTAAGTAAAAGATTCAATTCAGAAATCCCTGTAGGTTACCCAGATCAATATACACCTGAGGAAGGCCAGAGGGCCTAATGACCGAAACGTTGTGATAACAATAAGAAAGATGAGAAATAATAGTCCGAATATAAATATAAATAATTCACTGTATTTAGCATTGTTGAAGTTATCGCTAACATTTTTGGGGAGATTTACAAACTCTACGTTTTGTTCAATTTCACAAACCAATTGATGAATTAGGCTCATTTGTGTTTATTGAAAAAAAATAAAAGAATTTCCTTTTAAATTGTGTTTACTGAAAAAAAAAAGGAATTTCTTTTTAAATTTTATTTATAAAAAAAGGGAATTACATTTTAAATTGTATTTATTGAAAAAAAAGAATTTCTTTTAAATTATATTTATTGAAAAGAGAATTACATTTTAAATTATATTTATTGAAAAGAAAATTACATTTTAAATTGTACTTATTGAAAAAAAAGAATTTCTTTTAAATTATATTTATTGAAAAAATAATTACTTTTAAAATTTTATTTATTGAAAAAAAGAACTTCCTTTTAAATTGTATTTACTGAAAAAAAAAGAATTTCTTTTTAAATTGTATTTTTTGAAAAAAAGAGTTTCCTTTTAAATTATGTTTATTGAAACAGAAGAAAATTCCCACAAGTTCATTTGCATTTGCAGGTGCTTGATGGGCAATTGCCCAGGGAACAGTTCTCGTTACACCAGTTGTCCATGGTGGGGATTCCTCTCCAGTTTCCAATGGCATGACACGGGCCACTGCTCACTACTGGTGCTTTGCTCACATGGGTGTCTGGCTTGTTGATAAGCTTCTTAGTCACATGTTTGCGTGGTGGCACGCTCGGGATTGACTGGCCTGCATCCAAGATAGCCACATCGGAGCAGCTGAAGAAATTCTCTTGATTACCGCACCCCATGCATCCTTTGCCATCAGGTCCAAAGTTCCAGTTATTTCCTTGGGGTAAAGAAGAAAAAAATATATATAGGGTCCATCCAGAAAATATAAAGCTATTTTGAAAATCTATAACTGTCTACGCACCTTGATTTAATTTGGCAATCAATCAGACGTTGTCTTACAGTGCATGCATAGACTGAAACTTCCTGGTAGAGATTAATTATATAGCAGTGAGAGGTCACTGAGTGAGCTTGTATACCAGGTGACTGTTGCATTCATTATGACAATATACCTCCCCATTCTTCATAAAAGAAAGATTGCTGTCCAAACATACATATGCGTGTGTGTGTGTTTGTCTGTGTGCGGAAACTGAAGTCAACACCCAGAGGTGGCCTGACGATTGCGTTTAACAGGTAACACACACACACATATATATATATATATCTGAAGAGAAACTTGTCAGCTGCCAATATACCTCATAACACTCTCGAGCACTTAGCCTTAGAGGGAATAGAATGGAGATCAACATGTTTTAGTGGACTTAGCAGTTTTCATTCAGCTTGTCTGAATCGTCTTCAAGAAGCGAGAGCAAGATCTAAAAGGTCAGCCAATCTAACTGGTCTCATCCCACAATCCTTACTTTTGCTCCATATTTGGCCACCTTTGTAAATCACTAGAGGGTCTTACATGCCACTTAAGATTATCACACAAAATTTCATAACTAAATCAAGTTGTCATATCCTCATACGTCAAAACCGACAGGAGAGTCCATTATATATATATATATATATATATATATATATATATATCTTCCCTCCATAAATTGATAAATAGGATTAAAAGGCATTGTATGAACGGTCTACGTCTCAGTTATGTGCTCATCATGTTAATTTTCCCGGGGTCAAAGATATGCAATATGGAAGGGGGATAAAAAAAATGGTAGCCTTACCTGCATGGTACTTCCACTGCACGATACACTGGGTACAGGTCATATCGCTTGGAAGTTTCAGCTTGACTGGAAAGTCTCCGGTACGTCGTTGTTTTAAGTGGTAACGCGTCCCGCTGCCGTCAGCTAACTGTAGCAGGTGTCTGTTGAAGCATTCGTGAGTTGCTGGTTTGTTCACGTCGTTGTTGGGACAGATACGAAACTCGAACCAGCCCCAGTGATTGGCCGTCAGTCTGACGTTGACAGTAATCTCCTGACCCTTGCGATAGTTGGCAGTGATAATACCATTGGCGTATTTACCACCGGCTTCGTTTTCGCGGGGTCCATCCCAAGGGTCACCACAGACACCACATTTACCCTTGTTCACTTGCCATAAGTGCTATTGCAAAAAAAAAAAATAGTGAAAGCTTATTTTAAATTAGTCACTGAGAAAGAAAATGAGAATTACGTTGTTCAACTGCAGATGACACTTTATCAACCTCTTCTCATTCTTTTATTTAATAAAATATATAACAATCATCCTATTATAATTCTGCTTCTGTATTACGTTCTGCTATTACCCTTTAAATAATGGACTATTCCGTTTTGATCGCGTGGAAAGACGGAAAAGACATATCAGAGACGCTACTTGGTTTCAGTGAGAAAAAGCAAGAAAAGAAAGAAAAAATGTTACTTAGTTAGCAAGGCCATTACGCTCTACCAATACATCATAAATAATGGACTATTCCGTTTTGATCGCGTGGAAAGACGAAAAAGACATATCAGAGAAGCTACTTGGTTTCAGTGAGAAAAAACAAGAAAAAAGAAAGATGGTTAGTTAACTAGCATGACCAATACTCCTTGCCTCATAAATAATGGACTATTCCGTTTTGATTGTGCGTAAAGACATACCAGAGAAGCTGCTTGGTTTCAATGAGAAAACGAAAGGACGAAAGAAAATTACTTAACACTTGCGTACCTTGAGCCATGCCAATACCTCATAAATAATTGACTAACCTATTTTGATCGCGTGAAAAGACGGAATAGACCATTATTTATCAGGTATTGGCAAGAGACGTTAAACATTTCTATCTTCCCTTCCTTTCTTTCTTTTATTCGCTGA